ACTCGAGTATAGTTAGTTTGAACTATAAATAAGCATGCCAAATTGTCTTAAATAGAAAATGAGTTATGATATTAGTTGTGGCATTACACAAATGGCCACTTTCACACAGCAAGGGTGAAAAAAAGGCTGTTTCGTACGAATGCATTACACATTTGCATAGACATTGCCTTCTTTGTTGACCATTTCGCCTGTAATCGGATGAGTGAACATTTGAGGCATTTTTATCCTATAGTTACGTCATGCGGTACATTATGGATGCGCCTATCTTGATTCAGTCGCTGAAGATATCCAAAACAAACTCGAACTGCAGGAGGACAGTAATGTAAAAAGTGTAGCTCAAACGCCCCACTGGTGGTTTTGTTGTGAATGAATTTGCTTCAAACTGTGAAATTTGATTAGTGCACTGGGAAGAATTTTTAGTGACTAGCGTTTGAAAAGGTGTTTGTTTCATTTGATAAAATGTTATATGTGGTGGTTGAGTAAATTGTTCCAAAGATGCTTGAAAGGATGTTGACTTTTGAGGTAGTCGTTGTAGGCTCGCTGTAGTGTTGGATTTGACTGATGTTAATGGTTGAAGTAACTGGTTTTCCATTGTATTTGTATTTTTTGACGGTTGCTAAGAATGTGGTCCAAAATTTACCACTTCACTCATTTCACTACATCCTATCTCAGAGACTGTAGGATTTCGGTTGAATGGTCTATCAAGCGTTTAGAAGATAATTGTGATTGATTTTTTCTTCCTCCCTTTCTTTTAGATTATGTCCATTTCTTCCCAACGTTCTCTGCAGATTCGAAAATAGCAAACGATATCAGATTTATAGACGTTGGACCTTTATTTCTTAACCATGCTATGTACTTATCTAAATTTCCAAATTTCCCAGCTGCAGGCAATGCATGAGCACAGATCTTTGCAGAAGAAAAACCGTCACATATAACTTTCCTGTTCCTCCTTAGTTGGACGAAATGAGGCGTTGATCTTGTCTGGCTCTGTATTATTGATGCCTTATCATTTCCAGGTGCTGGAGTTATAGAACCCTGTCAATTTAAAAGTTCTTCGGACTTTTTGACCATTGCCTAAATCGCTACATTAAGACAAAACGTAACGCCAGCGTTGACAAGATCGCACGATAATTCTCGAGAGCCCGTTTTTTCAATCGTTTTGTTTTCTACAGTAGCTCTGCCAGCATCCTCCATTGCTCCTCCGCTGCGTTTGACAACTTTGTATTCCAAAAGTCTCCAATCTCTTTGCTCGTTTCTTTTTCGAAACCAATCACATTCTAAAAATAGAAGTTTCAGAAGTTTTGCCAGCTCAAACGAACCTTTGTCAAATATTGATGAGTTGACATCAGTTTTCTCTTTCTGGAGCAAAACACTCATTTCTTGGATATAATTTGATACTTCAACTTCCTTGAAATTTACAGCTCTTTTGATCATAGCGTTTGCTGATTCTGAGTTGTTTGTATCTTAAGGATGTAGAGGATCACCCAATCTAGCGTCGCATCGTGCATTTTTTAGCATGCATTGGGAAATCATTGTTAATCATTGAAATCCTAATTACAATCAGAAAAAACTATTGGTTTTTAATTTTTAAAGAATATAATTTTACCAATGGATTAGCCTCTAATATGTATAGAAATGTAACTATACGACAAAATTTGCTGCATTAATTTATTTTGACTTACTCTGGATCTGCCATCCTCCACAACAACACTGAGCTGGAGTCTGTAAACAACTCTCACATAGCACTGTCATGCATGCATGGATTACAAAAATTAAATATAAAATACCAATTTATATATGCGTAGTGATATTTTTTGCAAATACTAATATCAATGCCATTTTAATTAAGTAATTTAACTTTAGAAACAATCCTAACATCACTGACGATGTTGAAACAATGCAAGGAAGAAATTTGGTAGACCAGGTATCCCGAAAGCAAAAGTTGGATTATATATTAAACATAGAGAAATTGGAAAGGAAATTGATGGATAAAATTGATGAAAAATTTCAGTCCCTTCAAGAAGCCTTAATGAATAAACTAAAAACAAATGTAAGTATGAAAATATAACTGTGAGTCGTTTTGTTATGGTATGATATTTAGATAATTCCGTGTTTACTATCTATTTGCAGTGTTTACATGCTCAACACTAAATGTATATTAATTTCTGCGGTTAAAAAAGAGTCTCCCCATGCTCTTTTGATTGTTTGAAATCATTCTACCGTATTACGAAATGAATTCGAAAGTTTTCCTTATATATAGATCATTAGGAATAAGCGACAGAGAATAAGATGAAGCAACTACTTCGTCCAGTAGCTTCAATTTAACAAATTATGTTTTACCTACAATAACAAATCCAAGAAATATGGTTATCATCTTCTTTTTGTTATTTGAACGCTTGATCATCTATTACGATTGCTATGATTATTAATTGCGATAGCGTGTGGTGTATAACAAACCAAAAAGATAACTATAAGAAATTCCATATAACATAAACATGTCTGTATTCACGCAATAAAATAATAATGTGAACTCCTAAAACATTCTTAGAAATAATATTACACAGCAAAAATATTTTTCTTGTTTTAAAACAAAATGGACTTAGCTACTTTAAAAAGATTTTCTTGGAATACGTCGAAATTTTCTTTGGGGAACAATTGCTGGTGCGTGGCAGCACACTATTCTTGACATGGCTCGGCCAATTCCTCCGCGTGGCCTATATAGAGGTGAAATCTCGATTTGTGTCTGTCTGTTAACATTTCCGGGGGGATTTTTACGGAATGAGGGGGACGAACAATTACAATAAGGAAGAACCTTTCGGAACTCTTGTAAGTTTCTATTTGATTTTAAATGTCTGGAATCCGAATAGAGTTGCGGCCTAAGCAACGAAATACAGAGATATTAAAATGAGAGTGATTATGAAATATGAATTATGAATAAGATGAAACGTTTGCTCTTTGCGATAACTATACATCATTTTATCGCAGTCGCCCAGAATCATCGGAAAAAAGGTTCCATCGAAAGGTTATAAAAGAAATAATGTCAACAAAACTACAGTTTTATAGTATAGTCCGTTTCTACGTTTGTAAACATGCGTTCGATTGATCGGTTGAGTAAATAAAGTATCATACTTTTAATCAAAAAGCATTTTAAAGACTTAAAAGAATCAAAAAATTGTTTTCGTTCGAAATGGTAATAAATTTATCTTTAAAATTATTTGAAACGTGAAATGAAAGAAGATGTAAAGCGCAGAAGCTATTTTTGCCGGAAATCAACGGTCGACTTTCAGAGCTCGTTAACCGTTAACCGTTTACGCATCTCATTTATAAATTCTACGCTTTTATATATGAAAATAGTGTAAAAATGTATGGGTAAAAAAGTCAAATGAGAATCTCTATGCCCAAGAGGTCATCTGATCGAGTATCATTAATATTATACATTTGTGTCTTTTTCCATTTAGACTGTTCATAAGGCCACTTGAAGGAAAGATTCATATCTATTCAGTTGTGTCGTTTACGATCAAAACACAAACAACGCTGAAAATTTTAAACCAGTTGATACAGCACATATTTCTACATCTTAGTCGTCATATTAGAAATTCATGCAGTCTTGTATGATGAAGGTCTTGTAAAGTTGTAATCATGTTTATGACAATATGCGAGCATTAAACAGAATCACTTCATTCTTAATTGGATCTTACTCGCTACGTGGCATCTCTTTCTCCTTAATGCATGGATAAAAAATTCTCCAAATCCTGCAAACACTTGAACGGATTGTCTAATAGCCGTTACTGGAACCCGTTCACGTACACATACATTAAGTTCTATCATTTGACGTCGTAGTACTCGTTGAAAGCCCATCTGATTTATTCAAAATAAGAAATTTTCCAATACCAAATTACTATTTCTGGAACTACCGTGGACATTTTTGCACCCTCCATTAGTGAACGTAAATTATTTTTACTCCAGCAAGAATCACATCGTTTTTGTTAAAAAGACTCATCGCGTGCATTCAAAGTGCTGGCACAATTTTCTTCAGTAGAATTCCATTGTTATCACAAAAGAAAACTTCTTTGTGTATTTAAAGAGCACCACTATGTAATTAGTATGAGCTTTCAACAAAGAATCACTACAGAAAAAGACAATTGAATGCCTCTTTAAAACATTTTAAAATACATTTTAAAGCCAAAATTTTTGTCGAAAACTAGTAGAGCATGGAGATTGGATGCAAGGAGATCAGATTCCACTCGTTTACTATAAAATGTACAAGTTATCGTGTTCATCCAGGGAACATGCTTTATAAAAACGAAAAATAAAAATTCACTTCAGTAGCACTTTAAACTCGAAGCAGTCATGTTAGCATTTAAAAAGACACAACTTCGCAATACGTCCTTTGCAGGTACCCGTAACGTAACCATGGTTATTGTGGGTTTCGATTTTTCAGTATTGCCGTTCTACATTAGAAAATCAAAGCAATAAAAGGTGTGAGTTGATTGGTAAATATCTGTATTTGATTTAGCCTGTGCAAAACTATCTGAGCTCAACCAGTGAAGTCAATCATTTAATCAAAGGGAATTTGCAAATCAATCATGAATACATGTTAAGGGGAATATTGAAATGTTTGTGCAAACTTGTCTGTTTTGCATTATTCTTATTTTATTAGGAATCGGACGTTTTAATTTGCTTTTTTGCTATTATGGTAACTTAAACCAAAGCAATACTTACAACGGGACAATCAAGTAATTAGAACTATATAGCTTATAATGATAGGAACATTATGCAGTTCTCAAAAAACCGAAATGCGCGGAGTCTCATTTGTCGTTTAATTAGTCATCTGCCTTATTTGAATTTTTTCACTGGCTTGATGCCATCAATAATTCATACTCAAAACACTTAAAAGTTATAGCGGCACACGAACTTTTAGAAGCGACGCCTTGGCCCTTCCCCAACAATACGCAAAAGAAATATATGTTGGTATTTATAACAACCTATAGAGAGATTATTTCGTTTCGACGCAATAGAACTTTGCCACAAGTACAAATTATCAAAGAAGCTATGACTCTTGAAAACTTAGTGATTTCAGTATTTGGAATAATATTAAAAAAATTTCGAGATGAAGTATCAGAAAAACTTAGTGACGGTGGCGTTACTAGTAAAACATTGAGCGATATTATCAAACGAGATTTACATGACATTAAAGAAAAGATCGATTTTCTTTCGCGAAAAGATCTTCTTGCCAGTTTGAATTTCTTAGAACAAGGAGTCATTCGACACTCTAAATGCTTTGACGAAGTGAAAAAATTTGAATTAGAAGAATTTAGAGATGCCTACAACGGCAACATGTCGTCAGCAGCTTGTGGCGTCATCAGGTATGATCTATTGAATGAAATAAAACGATTCACACAAACAGTAGAAAAATTAAAATCCGATTCAAACTTTTTTGAAGAAGCAAAAGATCTTTTTACAAAAGCCCGTGATAAAGCAACAGAAGCCTTTAGTAACGAAGGCTTACAATTGAAGGACAGAATATTTGCAGTAAAGATTCAAGTTGTAGCGCAAATTTTATTGTACATTAAGTTCCCAGAAAAAGCAATCGACTTTTTATTCGGTTATATAAAATCGCTGCATGAGTTGGATGAAGTTAGTAAAATGTTCTCTGATCACAAAGGAGGTGGCCTGTTATCAATATTCACAAAATCTGAACGAATGGAAAATATAAAATCAGTGATGATTCTTAACTTTAAATTGAATCAGTTTATTGTAAGGATCACAGAAAGTCATTATGATCCATTAACTTTGCCAAGTATGCCATCAACAAGGAAATGTGTTTAATCCAATAATGAATTGGTACCAGTTATTCACTCCAAATTCTTGGGATGAAAAATTAATTTCATCTCCTTCTGAGCTCATATCCCCTTTTCCTTTTTTAAATACTAAACACTACAATATAAACAGTGGTGGTGAGATCATCTTTTGTAACACAAATAAAATTGAAGTCATAAAGGGAGATGTTGAAATGATGGTCGTTTTTGAATTTCCTCCTCGTTTTACGAGTGTTGCATGCGCACTCGATGAACAGGATAATTTTTATATATTAGGACAAAATAATTTAGGTGTTCCTACCTGGCCCTTTACATCTTAGAGAAGGATTTTAGCGAGAAAAAGTTTTCAAACTCTTTTTCAAGTGGTAGCAGTTTAGCGCACAGTTTGACGTGGGCCAGAGGTTTTTTCTACTGGGATTCTGTGTTGAAAGTACAAAACAATTATTTGGTGGTGCTCCTAAAATTTACAAATAATGTCTATGTTTGTTACAACAAAGGTGTCTTTCAAAAGAAGGTTGAGCGACCATCTCAAGCTCACGCAGTGGGTCTCTCCAACAAAAATGAAATCATTTTTGATTCTATGAGTCTTTCTAACAAAAATGAAATCATTCTTGCTGGAGGCAAAATAATCTACTTTTACTCAATGGAAGGTTTAATGATTTTGACGATAATTCCCGAAATTGATATTCTTGATTTGGTATTACACTTTGGCAATGGAAAACTTCTCATTTTTGATAAATCAGGGAACTTTTCAATTTTTAATGACACTGAAGAAGATGGTGTGAACAAACGTGTTTTTAACGTTTTTTACAGTCGATATCAGTAATCATCTATTGAACGAGAACTTTACTGTGAAACATCTGTATAGCTACCATATTTAAGATGGATGTTGTGATTTTTTTTATTTACTCTTGTGTCATTGACTTTGTTTTGACACTTGTTCTCGTTATCCAAGTTCGTGCATTTTAAAGTAAGTAATAAAATGTATTTCATTTTGATTATCTTTTTTCTGTATTGCTACATTATAATATCGATGTATATTAATCAATGTTTTGTTAATTTTTGAAAAAAACACCGCTGTCAAATAAGCATAGTTACAAACGTTAAAACATATTAACTTGAAGAATGTAAATAAGATCATTTACAGTAATCAAATATGCGGAAATCTTTGAGTTGTTATGACTTTTGAGAAAATTCCCATCAATTTATAAATAAATGTGCAAAAACTATGAAAAACTTGGAACGCATAAAAAAACGAAAAAAAGATAACCTTTCATTATTGCCGGTGTAGACCAATCTTGGTAACCATAGCCATCTTCAGAGATCAGTACTTCTCGTAGGAGTTAATAAAAAAATTGTCCTACTATACGTCACATCCGCTTGACTTGACGCACAATTATGCTGCTACATACAATTCTTGGTATGTTTTTTTTGCATTTTGTTCCGTAAAGTACCTTTTACCAAAAATGATAAAAAGTTTGTAAAAGACGATATGATATCAGAATTGAGAACAGAGTATGCAAGGGCAAGCTCTTCTGCAATATTGCACTCATACGAGAAATTTAGACTCATGACGTATGCTTGGTAAACCAGCATCATAACTTATTTTATTGTAGTCCTCTTCAAAGGCTTCTTCTTTCAAAGATCCTTTTAAAAACTTCTTATATCTTTGAGAAAGTCATTATATTGGTGGATTTGTGTTTCCATATCAATTGTACATTTCAACAAAAGCAAGTGCATATGTACAAGGAACAAAGTGGTTAAGCGCAACAAGTCCTGATGTGAGTAAGGATCAGATCAGCTTTTATATTCTTACAAGCCCAAAAAGCACGTCATTGGCACTATTCTTTTTTAATGCTTTCACACAATTGCTTGCCTTTTTTTAATAGTAGAAAGCCAATGAAACAGGGGCCATTTTAAAGGGTATGTGTGTGTGCTTGCACTCCTTTTTTTGTGACAATCACGGATTGACTGATGTATGAGATGCTTTTTTGGCACGTGCTAAGTGACTTGCCCCTTTTTATAATTTTCCATAATTCTTTGAGCAATTAGCACATTAGAAAATTTTACTACATAATTGAATACAACTAGTATCTTATACCAATAGAACTGTTTGTTTTCTTTGTTCACATTCGTTGTTCAGATGCTAAGTTCGTGTGACTCGTTATCTCATGTGAAAAGATTTCATTTTTGTAATATATCTAAGCAATCATTAAAAAATCGACGAACAATACTTTATTTTACTAATCCCCCTCCCCCGGCTCCATCCTTTAATCTGCAGGAAAAATTTATACATTCGTATTTATGATAAAATACAAACAGATAGAGAATATTGCGTTCGACGCAACAGATTCTTGCTTAACTGTGTAAGTAGCTACAAAATTTCAAAGACGCCATGGCTCTCTAAAACTTAGTTCTTTCAATATTTGAGTTAATATTTTACAAGGTTCAAGATAATGCATCAGAAAAACCTAAAGACAGTGATGTTACCAATGAAACATTGCGTTATATTGTCATACAAGATTTACACAAAATCATGTAAAGGATCGACTGTCCTTCACGAAAAGATCTTCTTTTGGGTTTAAATTTCCTAGAGCAAGGGACCGTTCGAATCTCTAAATGCTTTGAAGAAGTGAAAAAAATTCAGGTGAAATAATGTATGCAATAGCAACATGTCATCAGCAATGTGTGGCATCATCAGAAATTAAATAAAACGATTTACTCAAACATCGGATCAATTAAAATCTGATTCAATTCTTTTTGAAGAAGCAAAAGATCGGTTTACAAAAGCCGTGATAAAGCAACGGAAGCCTTTATTAACGAATGTTTGCAATTTAATGATAAAATATTTGCAGAAAGATTCAAGTTGTAGCGCAAATTTCGTTGTACATAAAGTTTCCAGAGACGGCAATCGATATGATGTTCGATTATATAAAATCGCTACATGAATTGCATGAAGTTTGTAAAATGTCTTTCTGTTCATACGAGTGATGGTGGGTTGTTATAAAGATTCACAAAATCTCAGCAAATGGAAAATATAAAATCAGTAATGATTCTTAACATAAAAGTGAATCAGTTTATGGAAAACAAATTTTGGAAAACATTAGCCAGTGAATGTAGGGTTTAACTCTTTTTCTTTTTTCATTTCTGATTATGATACTCAATGTAAGATACCCAATAAATTGTGCTTTTGTGACACATTTGTCGACGTCACCAGAGGTTTCAAAAATGTTTTTATCCGGAACGACCTAGACGGTAAATAATGTATTTTTTGCTAAGGACAGCAGCCTGATAAGATAGTGTAATCAGATTCAAAACGTTGGAAAATTATATAATCAGAACTTCACTATTCATTTACTTTACAAAACAACTCTTCCCTTGAGTATTTAACTATATGATTCCGGACAGCGGTTATAAATAGTAAAATTCAGCCCGCTGTTTGAGCCAATCAGATTGCAAAAAGGCAAGGATTCTGCCTGCTGCTAACCTGTAAAACATAATAAACTCTATTAGTCCGTTTTTTGATTTCCTGCAATCTTACTGGCTGCAGCAGCGGCCAGCTTGCAATCTCTTGACCGTGGTCAAATAGCGATTTTTGCAAAGTAAGTGTTTTCAAAGTGAAATTTAAACATTTTAAAATTAATTTAAAAGCGGTGTAAATTGTTCATGGAGAAAGCAAAATGTGTTCATATAGTAGTTATCATAGCGAAAATGAATTTTACAGACCATGTGAAGCTTACACAAAACAATCCAATTTTAGTTTCAAATAAAGCCACATCGACCATTTTACAACGCGAGTTTCTTCATTTCAAAAATTGAAAAAACATGATGTTTACAGTATAGGTCAGTCCTTACTTAACGCAGTGAGATAACTTATACATTCTACACATATTCCTGAATAACTTTGCAATTAAAAAGAAATCATAATTAAATCCCTAAAGTCTTTTCATTTGAACAATCTATATCGTTTGAGGTATCGAAAATGTGGTATCAAAAAATACTGATTATTAAATGTTTAACCAAACAAAATAAATAATTCTGTCCCATGTTTGGGAGGCATAGAGATCCCATGAGATAGCACAGCGCATGCGTCAATCAATGCAGATGCTGCTGTCGATCGAGGAAACGTTCACAAAATTGTTTGTCTATAATAAACAGAAACTAACGCATGTAGTTTTTTTAGTCACGTTAACACGTAGCTACCGTGATAAAACCAAAATACCAAGGTTACACTGTTGTAACTTGTAACGATTATCTTCGTCCGGAATATCCAGCATAATAGTAGAAAATGGCGTAGACGAACCGTTACAAAAACTCCCCCAAAAAAATTTACAAGAAGATAGAGCCGGTGAATCCGGCGAATGGTTCATTAGGGAGTGTTTACTTTGACCAAAGTTTCTCGGCAAGGAATATAAAGATTTTTTTCCTGTTGTGGTCACGTACCATGTGTAACACAACCAATTGGTGGAATTGCCATGTAAAAATTCAATGCGACAATGACAGCGCAGTTACAGTTTTTATTTGCAAAGTCAAAAAAGAGCGATCTTATGTCTTCTTACAGTGAATAGTTTCTATGGTTACAACAGGTTTGCTACAACTTCTCTGCAAGCTATGTACTAAACGTGCTGCCCGCAGGAAAAACGGAATCGTCAATGAGCTCTCTTACAATCAGTCACTCATCGGCGAAATATTTCTATCGATAATGATGTTTGATAGTAGCTTAGCAACTCGATCTTTAAGTTTTCGTTAATGATAATGATAAACAATATTTGAAAATTGCTTGGCGTCCTGGGTAGTTGAGTCCCCTTTCTTATGATGATGATAATGTTTGATCATTGTCCGTGATGACGATGCTTGACAACTGGATGATGATGATGATGATTATGACAATGATGATGATATATGATGATGACCATGATGATGACCATGATGATGATTATGACGATGATGATGATGATGATGATGACGGTGATGACTTTAGCGACGTTTTCCCGTCAGTTCATAGTTGTTTGGATAAACTCTTTATGATGAAAATGCTATATAAATTATTAGATAACAGAAATTAAACATTTAAAAATTTTATTGAAATTTGTAATAAATAAGTTATTAAATGCTTTTAATGAACTTTATTTGTGTAAAGAAATGGAGAAGTAGCTAATTATTTTAGTTTAATGATTGCATTAATGCGTGTTGCTTAAAAGAACTTTGACAAAGCAACATTACATCAAACCAAATTCTATATTGAATTTTTTGAATGTTTTCACTTTTGAGAAATTGTTCGTCTTTGCATTTTATGCTTTGTGATTTTTTTTGCATCAAATGCCATTTCAAAACTTATGAATATGTCAAAGATTTTTTTAATATAATATTGGATTTCAATTTATATTATTGATACAAAAATGCTCAATTCCAAACATATCTGTAATAATTTGCGTACTGTGAAGTTATGGCGCATTACGTTGTGTCTGTATAGATTTTAATCTGATTGGTTTAAATTACAAGGGAACTTCGTATTTATTACAACATTTGTAGATCTTAGGGAGATTATTTGGCGTTTGACACAATAGATTTCAGTTAAAATGTGTAAGTACAAAACGTCATCCATGGTTCTTGAAAACTTAGCGATTTCAGTATTTGAAATAATATGGAACAAAATTCGAGATAAAGCATCAGAAAAACTTGGTGATGGAGGCTTTAATAATAAAAAATTTAACGATTTTATCATACGAGATTTACACGACATCAAAAAAAGATCGGTTGTCTTTCACGAAAAGATCTCCTCACCAGTTTCTTAGAGCAAGGAACCATTCCACTCTCTAAATGCTTTGATGAAGTGAAAAAATTTGAGGTAGAAGAATTTAGAGATGCCTACAACAGCAACATGTCGTCAGCAACTTGTGGCGTCATCACGTATGATTTATTGAATGAAATAAAACGATTCAAAATTGTAGCGAGAGACTTGCCGAGTGGAAATCGAATTCGTGTGATAAATAAATAATTTGTTTAATAAATAATAATAATTCGTGTGATAATTTAATTTTACAATTTGCTTTTTTTCTTTTGGTTTATTTCTATGGCTCTAATCAGAACTTTATGTTGGGCATTAATTTTTATTACACTAAAACGATTCACACAAACAGTAGAAAAATTAAAATCCCAATCAAACTTTTTGAAGAAGCAAAAGATCTTTTTACAAAAACCCGTGATAAAGCAACGGAAGCCTTTAGTAACGAAGGTTTGCAATTGAATGATAGAATATTTGCAGTAAAGTCGTTGCGCAAATTTTATTGTACATTAAGTTCCTATAGAAAGCAACAAACTTGTTATTCGGTTATATAAAATTGCTTCATGAGTTGTATGAAGATAGTAAAATATTCTTTGTTCACATAAAAGGAAGTGAGTTGCTATCAACATTCACAAAATCTCAAAGAATGGAAAATATTAAGGTAGTGATGATTCTTATCATAAAATTAAATCAGTTTATAACGAGCATCAGAAAAAATCATCATGATGCACATACTTGGCCAAAAATCAAAGGAAAAATTGATCGCTGCCAATTTGCGTGTAAAAGCCTCTCTAAGACAGACGCATTTTTTTTCATGCTACAACATGATTATGAAGCACTCGACAATGAAAATGCGTCTGCTCGCCTTTTCTTTGCTGATTTCAGTGGATGATTTGATCCTATATAACATCTGTTCTTATGAATAAGTTGATTAACTTAAATATTCATCCTGAACTTGGATTTCTGATTTTCTTTCTAATAGAAAGCCGGCTGTTAGAAATAAATGGCACCCTTTTAGACTGGAAATGCCCTAATGAAAGCATACCTCAAGAAACTAATCTTAATGTTATCCTATCCTCAGTTCTGGCAAATACCTTAATAATAGACTGGCATCTAAAGGTAAAATTTGTTGATGAGTCTACTGGGATGGAGAGTATTCCAAGAAATTCAATTAGTTATCTCAACCATTTGGTACACGAATACATTAATTTTCAATAACTTCAATTAATCATAATATGATACTCAATTCATTAGAATGCAAAAAAATGGTAATCAGCTTCATGACTAGTTTCAAACCATTAATGAGATCTATGGTAATTGGTAACTACTTGATTTAAAAGGGGAAACTGTTATAAACTACTTGATACCCAATTGATTGATGATCGGAAATGGAATAATCATGCAAAAAGGCCAATACAAAACTTTCTTCCCTCCGAATTCTTCAAGAGCTCGTGTTGAACAGAAGAATATATTAAAAGTGTAATTAAGTACAATTAGAATAGTAGAATACACTGTACCAATATCTACACGCAACGCACGAAAGAATACGTGTACTACTATTGACGTAAAAGGTAGCTAATTACTGTTAGTATAAATAGATGTAAATAATTAATTCCAGGAGATAGCGAAGAAATACGCCAGTGATATATTGTATTTATCGTTTGTGAAATAAATAAAAGGTTAAAAACGAAGAGTGTCAGTGAACCATCTGTACCGTTATTTATACTAACGGTAATTAGCAACTGCGAAACATAATTTGAGCTTTCCTTTTACGTCAATAGCAGTACATTTGTTCTTTCATACGTTGAGTGTAGATAAAATGCGAACTCGGACTGTGTTTTAGACTTTGTGTATTCACTTTCACACAAATTTTTATTGCAAAAAACTAATAATAAACGGTTTGACTTCAATAACTAGTTTCTACTTTAAATGGAATCAAACAGATGTATCTAGAAGGCAATTTCGATAGTCGAAATTACTACGTCGAGATTTAAAATAGTTGAGTGTCAGAAGTTAAAAGGCGAGAGTTTAAAGTAGCGTTAATCATACATCATGAAAATGTTAATGCAACACGAAAAATCATTAAAAAGACCCGAGTGCTTTCACAGTACTTGATTACAAACTTACAAACTAGGCAAACTTAAACGCTCTTTGTGTTTCATTTATATAATGCTCATATTTATACTGCCTACTAAGTACCTAACAAAATCGAATAATACTAGCAATATACTGACTTAAATTTCCCATCTGACCTTTCGTGACAGAATAAAATGTCGATTTCCAAGTATAAAATAGAATATGAATTGCATATAGTGTCTGCAAGTAACAATTACAATTATTTAGGCCGTACATTAGACAGACTGAGTATGCAAAATAATGACAGCTTTAGACATATATTTTACATGATACACCAATTATGAATAGCTGAAAATTAACGGATTGATCATATATTTCAGGCCAAGATGTCAAACGTAAATAAAAATATAAATTAATACCCCAATACATGTAAATTCTTACCTAACAGGGACATTGGGTCCTGATCTTTCAATTTGGCTTTCAGGGAACAGCAGTTTTGAAAATGAACAAGTTCGTAGCATAATATCGCCAGTAGAATTTATACGACGAAGCCTTTTCTCGTTGATTATTTTACCACAGTGTTGTCTCAAGTTAGACAATTCACCAGAAATAATTTTGCAAGCGTTCTCTTGCTGAAAGATTTGGACGAGCTTTTCAAGAACATCGATCTTTTTAACAAGTTTCCATTGATCCTAATCGCTGAGTAGAACTAGAAGTAGCGTTTTTTCAAGTCGACAAGAATCGAGCTATTGCAAACGGCTTGCAACGCTGCAGCGTGGCTAAAGGTTACTATATTTAGCAACTATTGCGAAATTTTTTGAACGCTGACCGTGGCATTTCATTCTGAGATTGCAGGTTCGAATTTACGAACATATTCCACATATTCCGAGCATATTCATGGCGTATTCAGCAAGATTCGAGACGCTTTCGGTGATTTTACAGTTAGTTCAGAGTTTAACTGGATGATAATACTATTTTAACAAGACGTTTAATTTGAAGTTTTTGTTCTGTTAACACAAATTTTTGACAAAAAATTACAAAATTCATTCAATTTTTGCTTTTTATCAAATTTTGCTGTATTTGAGCAAAATTTTTAATCATGAAAAAGTCAACCCTGGAAAAACTTAAGTGGCAGATTTCTGACCGTGGGTCAAGCCACTTTCGCCATGGCCTAGATCTGCCCCTGAAGCAGCTCGTGCGAATTTTCTTAGGGATAAGGTACTAAAAAATTTGCATGGATGATCAGGTTCCACTGTAATCCTTTTGAACTCTTGGGTAGTTGCTACTTCACGCCTGCTTTTTAAAGATGGCAAGTAGTTTTTATCTAGTTGCAAACTTCTTAGACTTCTTGTTTGTACGCGTTCAATTTCCTGCTGTAAAAAATGTAAAAGTCCTGCCGAGACAGCCGATGCATATTCTAATACTGGTCTTGTTTTTTGATATGTATGTTAATAATCCTATATCTGAAGGTAATTTGTTTTCTACCCAGTTGAAGATTATGTAATCTTTTATTTGCTTTGATGTAATTTGGTTTCAGCACTTTGAGAACAAACATATATTTTTTTGTGCTCTTATATTGTTCTATACATGAAATGTCTTGGAATGTCGTGAAATGTCTTGTTTGTATGGAATTTGAGGAAGAGGCGAGACGATTTGCAACAAACAGTCAAGTGTATCTTGCAAATGGCGTTCATTGTGATGTCTAAAAGAAATTGCAAGATATCGTAGATTATTTGTATGGGGCTCCTCACGCTGCCGCAAAAAAGATGAAAACGGTTTCGATCCAATGGACCGAAAAAAATTCGTCTCATCCGTGGTTACGGACATTGAATAGTTATGATTCCAATATCATTCAGACACTTACACACATGGCTGTTGATGTCTGTAATGACAGCCAACTTCTCACATCTACAGCCTTGTCTTGGCCATCACGATGATTAGCCTAATTTCATGGAAAAGAAGAATTTAGATCATACAGTAAAACTTCCGAAGGTGGAATAGGATTTTCTTGTCTTCAACCTCAAGCTATCCACTTGCACTACCGTGATCCTAATCACTACGCTGAAATGCTTCAAATTGAAGGCGACCTCGAACAAGAAAAGTTGAAAGGAGAACTACTTTGCTGTCGATTTGCGGTTCAGGTCGATGGGTCCGTTGAGGCCAAACAACAGGACGAAAAATTTGTCTTCGTTCGTTTTAATGGTGTGTGTTAAGCAAGTCGAGAAACGTGGTGCAGAAGGTTTGTTAGATGCTGTAGTTTCTTCATTAAAATATCTTGGACTCGATGATGCAAATATTAAGGGAAAATATTCCGATCTGACTACAGACGGTGAGTCCGCAAATACCGGTCGTAAATCAGGATTGTGGGCTCGATTGGAAGAATATGTTGGGTTGGCCATCAAACATTTAACTTCTGGTGTGAGTGTCACAGATCTGATTTGGCCATGGAAGACTTGATCAAATCTGTTCCAGAGTTAATGATTTAGAAATCCAACTAGTTGCTGTAGCAACCTACTACCGTTCGTCAGGTTTGCGAACAAAGAAATTAAGACATTTTTTGAAACATAAAATCATTTCCCGCACACCACGATGTTTGATTCACGCAACATTTAATGCAGCAATGTGAGGCGGTCCTAAATAATCTTAATGGTTGTCTTCTACATTAAAAGAAAATCTTTGATTCCCCAGCAGCTGCTTAAGATAAGAAAGAGAAGGACAAGGCAATGGATTTCAAAAGACATGGCATCCCTCAACTCCTCAGCCTTGGCTTACAGCTCTGATGACTGACATCTGCTCCAACTTCCAGTGTATTGAAAAAAAATGTCAGAAAGAGCACATTATCCTTCTTGATGTTTTACGATACAAACATGTGGCTTTGCAGAAATTGAGTCTACTAAAAGCAAAACCTTACCCAGGTATGATCAGTTTCTTCTTAGCCGTAACATGTATGTAAATTGTGTTGACTACTGTAAATATACGTCATATATTCTTAAACGTTTACTGATAACTATACAGGCGGTCAAGAAGAGAAGCTTGGAACGCTTCATTCAAATGAAGACGATGATGAAGAAAATGATCAAACTTACGGATTTCCTCAAAGACGAACAACTCATTCACTGGTGACGACATTCCGGCGAGCAAAAGAACCAATTAGACTTTAAATTGTAGAATCTTCAGAAAACTATATCTAAATGTGAGTAATTCACTTAAAGTTCAAGTTGGATAATTCACGAAGAATAATAGGAAACTGCACTAACTATCAAATTTCATTTTCAGAGGATAGATACATATTCGTATATGAGTAAACTTTTCCCCTTTTTTGTGTTTTAGTCTCTACTCAATGATGAGTAAAATGAAGTTATGAAACACATCATCATCATAACAACAGCCAACACTACAGTTGAGTTTGTTAATGCATCTCTTCCTCTGCTGGCGTCATGTAATATAACTGACAAAGAAAAGTTTCTAAATTCAGTGTTTAAAAATCTTGAATCAATAAACCTGCAGATGAAATATCCCGTCAAGATTATAATGTTTGACTCTATTCTATGCTCAAGGCTAGCAAGCCAACAGTTACAGAATTCCTGTCAGCTTTTTGTGTCGTATCGCCTCAAGGCACTACTGTTGAAAGGTCTGCCTCAACCTACAACATGCTTTTTTCTAACCTACGAACAGCCACCTCAGAGATGATATTAGTTAACAGATTATTAATTCATTGGAACGGTGTTCGGAGCGCTCATTACTATCCACGGCCTGCTGTTCAGAAATTCATGCTCGCTAAAGAAAGAAGAATGAATTTGCCAACTGTCAGCACGTACATGGAAAGGGATTTCATTAAGAAGTTTTTCAAGCAACTCTCACAGCAATAAATCTTTTGTTATAAAACATTGTAAACTCGTTAGTTCTAGAGCTTTTTCAATCAAAGTTTTTTTTTCTTGTATGGGATAAGACAATGATGGGAATAATTAATATTTTTAATATGTTTAGTATGGATATTTCTTTACATCTTATACTACTTGTATGACACTAGCCCCTTTTGTCAATCCGCCGCCCACTGAGAAATTCTTAAAAAAGGCCCTGGCGTGAACTTAAATATATTCCACAAAATACCAAGTTTTATTTCAATCACAAACATTTCATACATTGAAATATGCGATTTAATAGCAAACATGCGCTATATAGGAAATAACATAAAAAGTGCAAATAAAGGAATAACTTATTATTGTAAGATTGATAACAAAGTTTGTAAGTGCATAAGGTGCTAGTTGTTGTTTGAAAAACTGTGAAAATAAAGTCAGTTAAATAAGCAGCTAACTGCAACATGGTTACCACGTGCTTCATTGAAATTAGGCACCCATCCCCCCAATTCAAAAAAATTGTGGTTGTAACGACAGACTTCATTTGTTGGTGCTCCATTTTTGTTGAAACCTCCCAAAACGACATTCACTTCTTCGTTGACAACGGCTGCACAACCATACTTTGCTTTGGCAGTTTCCATGACCGGCCCACAAGAATTTGTTTTAATGTCAAACTGGGCGATGGTATCCTTTCGGATATTGCAAGCACTTTCACCCCCAAGAAGAAAAATCTAAGATAGAAAAAATTATAGTTAATGTGTTCTTATAAAAAAGACCTGATAAAAATATCAAAAAACATGTCATGCATCGAACAATTTCTCAATTAAATTGAATGAAACGAACAAAAATCTCTTCGAAAATTACAATATACTTTGCAGTTTGCACACTTAACAACTCTCCTGTTGCTTAATAAATCTTTAATTGATGCTAATTCTTTAGCTTAATGGTTGCTGATTCTTTAGCAATTTAGATACAAAAGAGATCGAATTGACCGTATTCATTCAAAGGAATACTGAAGTTTTTGTCTAAGCATGTATTTAAAGCACATCTAAAGCGACTACTGAAGAGTTAACAGAATGGTTTGAAAAGGAAGATAAACGAGCTAAGCATTAAAAGAAAAGCTTCCAGAACAAGCAAAAAAGAGTAAAGGGATCATAGCCCCTAATTCCTGGCTAGCTCGTGGCCACTTTTTTCGTTCTTTTTACAAATGACGCGCTAGCCGTGTTTCTATTCCTGAACAGACAGCATGGTTAAATATAATCTATTATTATATATAAACAACTTATCGTTAGTTCCGTGATTTAGATACAATTTAAATTTAGAACAACATATCATCATGATTCATTTCTTTTCAAATCTATTTTTTTGTTGTAAGTGAATAGCAGACAAAACTTGCAAGCTGCACCAGTTTCTAAACCACTGATTGATGTACTGCATTTCCAAGAGCTTGAGATAAGCTGTTTGTTGTTTCATTTAGTACTTTAAAACATGGTATAAAAAAGATGTTTTGCGTATTCTTTTTGTTATATTTAGCAAAATCAATAAGTTCTAATTCCGAGACTGAAGTTTAGAAATTTTTACTCTTGACAAAACAAAGACAAAAGAGCAAATTTAAAAAACATGGAGCGTCCTCCCGTTTTTTTCAGTAAACGGGAAAACAAAAAACTTATACTTGGCTTTTTATGTCAAATTTACCTAAATTAAGTTTATAATTAAATCATTCTTGGACAGGACAGCTGAAATATTTGCGATATACATTCAATAATCTTATATTCTATTGTTGCAACCGCAGTTTTCTGCAAATCATCAATTTTCTACTTAATATGTTTTATGTTCAAAATTAACAATAAAACGTGATATTGATTAGACATGATGTTGACTCTAGATGTGCAGAACTTATCACGCAAAATGAAGAACTGACTTGATTTTCATCCAGTAATGAAGCGAGCCTATTTGTTACTCCTAGAACGCAAATAAACTTGCATTCTACCAATGGAAAGACAATGCATTGATTTAGCTAAAAAAATTTGCATTGTCAGAGGGAAAGATCAGGCTGGTTTTGCCAATGCTTACATCTATGTATGTACAGTATTCTTTCCAAGGGAGGAAAAAGTGTAAGTTCATGCTATGTATGCGGTCACCAAATAAATATTTATTTATTGTACTGCAAAATGTAGAGGTGTATAATTACCTTTTCATCACGTAAGAGAGGGGTCATCTTTTTGCATGGATATGGCAGTTTTGAGACCATTTTACATGAGTTTGTTTTTAAATCAAGCACTATTACATCATCGTATATGCCATTATCATTGCTTCCACCAAAAGTAAAAACTTTGGAGTTCACCTTCACAGAGCAATGAAATGCCATTCTCCGTGGGAGTTTGCACAATAGTTCACTAGAGTAAGGTTCGAACAACGAAATTCCATAAACTTCATCGGAATATGAACCTTAAAGGAAAAAATAATTATTGATTTCAAAATCAACCAAATCACTCTTTTACGTTGAATTCACAAAGTGATATGCAAACATGATTACATTTCTTTTCAGACTAATGATCATTTATACATTAACTAAATCCAAAAAAAGTTGTGGTAACTAATTGAAGGCACATTTTAAATTCTAAAGTGATCTAAAATTTTATTTCTGACATCATTTTTATGGTACTTAAGGTTGTATGTTTACCCAATAACTACAAACTTCAATTCTGAAAACAAAGCATGTCATCCACTACTTTTAGTACATTCACAAATTTGATAGTGAAATATTGTTTGCTTTGACTTTTGAGAATCAAACTTTAATTTTTGGAAATAATATTATTAATTAGGGGTTGAAAACCTTTTGTGACATTGTATCCACCAATAAAGATAATTTTCTTTTGGTGTTCAACAGCTGTATGCCCACGAGAAATAAATGGTAATTTAGCATCTAATTCTATCCATTTAAAAGGATTCAGTGCCATGTCCATCATCTCTATACAGTCTGAATCACCAATGACGCAGACTTTTGATTCAATCACAACAACTGAAAAAAATTGCTTGATTTTGGTCATAGATGGCAACATCTCCCATCCATCATATTTTTCAGTCAGAGACAATGATTCGACTGAAGTTAACCAATCGTCATGATTTTGACCACCCAAAACGATGATGTACCCTTTCCAATCAGATTGCTTGTGGACTGTGGTAGATGGTCTCTAAAGGGAAAATTCCCATAAATATTATATGAGTTAATGCTTATATTTACAACAGCTAGACTTTAGTAATAATAATTTGGAATTTTTATAATGTGAAGTTAAGATTAGTTATAACAAAAAGTATCTCAAATTCAGAATCTCACTTACTAGGTCACCTTTCAGACAGTTGTGAGCAGGTCCTAATATCTGACCCATGCGCTCGGATTATAATTGCTAGAGATATAAACCAACTAAAAATAGATAACCCTAGCAAAGAGCATATGAAGCAACTAGTTAAGAGACACACTAAGGTCAAAATTTATTTGACGTGTTTTGGATTATCTGTGGAAACCACCCATCGTTTCTACTGGACTGTCAAGGCTAATTTCCATGCAGCTGCATTTTACACATAGAGGAAAATACACGGGCACATGTTGCTCTCAATTGTGAAGGCTTTTCCACGGGGCGGAAATTGCATTGGGGTGCTTTTGTTGAGAAAGGAAACATGGCTGCTGTCAACAAAAGATAGTTACTTCTCTAATGATTAAAAAACACCGTAATTTCAATCTATTTACTTTGTTGAAGAAGAATGAATAGGATTCCTATCAAAACAGGGATTTTGAATTAGAAAATCACTGCTTTATTGCAGCGATCATGTAGGCTGGAGTTTGATAGCAAAACAACGCTCTTAAAAATAGAATGAATTCAACTTTGTCGCGTTGCTCTAGAGCTGCTCGAGAGCACACAAGTACTACTGACCTTTTGAACTTCACAAAGTGGCGCATGCCTCATTCAATAGGAATGAGAGTATTTTGCGCTTTAGTGCAAAATGCAGCTGCATGGAAATTAGCCTTTACGGTCTGACTATTTGATTGTTATGGTCACTTCTATATTACCAGCAAAATTAGGGAGAAAACACGTATATTTTGAGATGTGAGGGAACATCGAAAAATTGATATGGCAAACAAATTAAGCATATGTGACTGAAGTTGTGTAAATAATGCAAAGGATGCTCATGGGGCAGTTTCCGTACTTATGAGATTGCTAGTTCTTTGTTCAACAAGTGTTTTCCTTTGATTAAAGTTAAAATGTCCTAACGTGAACCGTCTTACATGTCTCCACTAATCAGTGACGTAACTTGACTTTTTTAGTGGCGGTGCTCGTTCTATTATGCGAAGGCTCAGAGAAAAATACAAAAGAAATACTTTGATCAATAATGATCCTTCGGTGTTAAACAACCTCAAAGACTCATACTGCCGTAAAGTTTGGCTGAGGATTACGTATTTAGGTTGGCAGGGGGAATCCTTAAATAAAACACTAATGAGAAAATTACAATGCAATCTAAAAGGGTTAGTGAAGTTTATAGTGTTATACAAAACAAAGAAGGTATCATATTTCCTTCACAAAAAAGACAAAATCCCAACTCTGGATCGCAGCAATTTAATAGATGAATTTACTTGTCCAGGCTGTTTTAAGTCATACATAGGTAAAACTAACAGAATCTTTCTTACTAGACTTAGGCCCCGTCCACACGTATACGGATAGTTTTGAAAACGGAGTTTTTTTCCTCCGTTTTTGAAAAGATTTGCATCCACACGTTGCGTATTTGCATCGTTTTCACCTGTCTACACGCATGCGCGAAAATAGAGGAAATTAAGCACATAGCATTTACTTGTGCATTTACTTGTAACAAGAGATTCATCAAGCTTTTGCAGCAACCAAATATTGGCGCTATTTAGCAACATCTCTTCACCTTTGGTATCGTGGGGTACTCTGTTCGATTTCGCGAGGTCAAATAAAGTCAAAGTCAAATAAAAGCTCCACCAAAGAAAAAGATAAAGTCAAATGTTCTATTTGGACTGATGATGAGGTCGAGCTTCTCCTTAAAGTTACGGAGGAGTACAATGTTAAACAAACCGCTGAGAACATCGACTGGGAATCTTGTCAGAGCAAGTACTCTGATATACTTTATTTATTTAAATCGCAATATCAATCCGCAGAAAACGCCAAGGATATTGGAAAAGATTTTCCCCACAACAAAGAAGATATTACCAAAGTAATAATAACTACCAAACTTAAGACAATACGGTCCAAATTCATAGCAGCCGTCGATAGTGGAAAGAAAAGTTGAGAAGGAAGGGTATCTCTTTTGTATTTCGAAGTTTGTGAAGTGATATAGGGAGAATCCCCTGCCACATCCACAATAAATTCTGAATTTGAGTCTGCAGACATAACAGTTAATTCAATAAATTCATCTTCAACTCCTTCGAGTCCTTCCTCATCAACAATCTTTGAGAGTGATATCTCACGAGAAACAGACAATATGGAGACCTCAAAAGAAGTGCAGGAGTCTGAACATAAGAAAAAAAGAAATTTGTTTGATGCAAAGATGAGAGGCTACAAACAAGAAAATATTAAAAAGAAAAATCTCATCAGAAAATGAACTGATAATATTGGAAAGAGAAGATATGCAAATCGACTTGATCTTTGGAGTGATTTTGAAAACTGTTTGGAAATGTTGACTGAGGAAGGGGAATGGTTCAAATTTCAATCGTTAATGATGAAAATTTTGAACCCTTGGTACTGCCTCCCCTAAAAAATGTAAAGTCTGATATGGTTTGGATAAAATATTTCTTTTACTTATTTAACGTAAGCGCAAATGCTTTGCCAGGACTACTAAAATAAATAGCAAATGAATGGGTCAAAGAGAATTTGCCATGTAAGAAAATTTCTTGCTATTTGCTTGTCAAAATTAGTTTGTTAATTACAGTGATTAATTTTTCTTTTGTTTCGGCCACAAAAAAAAACAAAATATTGCCCGACTTTTTGGTTTAATATACCCGACGTTACTACTTTATCTAAAAGTTGGGGGTGCTGCAGCACCCGCAGAGCCCCATTCTCGTACGCCTATGATTAATTATTACATTTTCAAAAGGTATTGCTGGTGGAATGAGCTGCAGATATTCTGAAAAAGTATTTAATCGACATTTCAACTTACGCCGACACAAGAAAGAGTATTGTCCAGAAAGAAATCAGGGCGAAAAGTCTCAATCACATTCAGACAGCGAAGACAAGCAGTTTTGAAGGTAGTGCTTCCACCAATGAATCTGAAAATTTGATGTCAGTGGAAAGGAAGGCTGAGAAGTACCAAAGAAGAAAATGATCCTTGAATACCATTGGTAGAAAAAGCAAGGGAAAGAAGTGATGTATAACTATTTTGATGATTTAAAAGAAAGCCTTTTGAACAGGGGTCTAGATGAGTTGTCAGCTGAAGATCTAGCATATTCTAACAATCTAATAAAACTTCACAAAAACTGGAAAGCATTTATATGCAACGTCTTATGTAAACGGACTAATTACGTAAATGAAAAAATATCCAATCAACCGAAAAATAATGCACACAAAGAAAGCGTTTAGAGAAAATCACGACCTTGATCCAGAAAAAGCTATGGAAGCAGCCGTTAATAAGAGAAACTTCCTCATTGACAGACTCTTGAGAGAATACAGCTTTACTGAGAATGACAATGATGCAGGAAATTAACTGATCGATTAAATGAACTTAAACTCCTTCTCCACTGACCGTTGTATTCGTCATATCACACGGAAAACAAGTCAACAAAAGTCGCAAAGATTTTCATGACACTAAAAATTTTTGTTATTGGCGACCATTCATGTTTCATAACTGATAAGTTATTACGACATAGTTATACATGCAAATAGCGTTGACAGTTTTTTGTTTTTATTATCCGAGACAATCGAAAGTTGTTGAGATAAGTTACTTGCAAACACGATATGCCAAAAGTGTGCGATTTCTCTTTTTTTAAATATTGAAAAGCTGATAAATTTGCAAAAGAATAAATTCCAATTAGGAAGCGGGGATGTTTGGGCGAGTCCATTTTGTTCTTTTTTGCACAATAGACAAACACATGCAGTTGATAGTTTTGTCCTTTGTCAAGCATTCTTAAAGCAGAACTAACTAGATTAAATTTTGCAAATTTCGACTGCATAACGACAAGATATTTTGCATAGGGATTAACCATGTTACTCTGAAACAGTTAACGAAGTGAACAGACAAGACACACAGGGCTGTTGATACGCCTGAGTTTTTTCTACCATTCATGAAGCAGAGTAAATTTAAGTTTAACGGCTATTGAGTCATCGCCACAGTTTTCTATTAGGAACAGGGATCACCTATGACGCTCCAAAATGGTTAGAAATTATCCAGACATTTTTTTTTAACGACATGTTGATTGCAAATGGTCATTGTGTAAATAGCTATTACTCGACGCTTGTAGATAATTGTTGAATTTTAGTCACAGGTTTACAATGATGTATGTACCTGTAAATTTACATGCCTTCTTGAGCTCTTTAATGCGCTCTAAATTCTAATCATGTGCACATCTGATTTAGTTATGAAAGAACACCTAAAACTGGTCAAATATTTCAACCTTACAATTTTGCATCTTTAATTTTTTTCTAATTAGTTTAAGAGGAAATATTCAAAATGGAGCAATCGTTCCTCCAATATATGAGACAAATTCTCAGCAAATAAGAAAGGTGCTATTTTCAATTTTTTTTCAAACGAAGAAACAGTGGCTAGGTTTTCGGCTAAAGCAGCAACCATTGTTGTAAAGAAGTTTCATGAAGATAATGCTTAATCCAGTGCCACGTATAGTGGTTGTATTATTCTGGAATATTTCCCTGGCTCTGTGCATTTACTAAATGCTTAAAGCAATTTGATTGCGAACCAATGCACGCACTTACTACTCAATTTGAAGCAGCTCTCGATAAAGAAATTGTTTAATGTATACCTAACTATGAGATCCGTAATCTCAATAGGAAAATTTTTAGGTTTCAAAAGAACTCTCTCCCTTAAGTGATAAGAACAAGAGAGTTTTAGTTATGATGGATTAGAAGATTTTCAATGTCTTTGTTATTTCACTTTAGAGGATGGTGCATATTTTTTATCTTGTTTAATTTTGGGGATCATTATCCAATAATGGTGCGATTTTGATTCTTGCGTTCCCTTTCTACAATGGTTATTATCTTCGTTTATGTTAATGGTTTGGCTCATTTTTTGCAACAATATGAAGAAAAAAACAGGAGTATATAACATTAAGATCCCTTGGTCGATTCAATATTCATCATTTGGTTTGAGTCTTCTAAAAGCACACTAAATTCGATTTTTTCCAGACCAAAACATAGCATTGAACACCACTTATTCATTGGTTCTACAAGTACTATGTTCTTTCATAATTTTAGGTAACAAAGGATACAGGGTCTCACAACATGAGAGGGGGACAGCATCATCAGCAGGTAAAAGTTTTTTCTGCTGAATGACTAGATTATTATCAGAAATCGCAAACGCCCTGGTGTCGTGAAAACTACCTGGCCATTTGATTTCAACATCAATAAAATTCCCCTTATAATCACACACTTGGCAATTCAATGAATGGATAACTTCAATAATTCACTTCATTTCAATGATTTCAACAATTCAATGATTCACTTCATTTTATAACGGAAGTCGTCATGAGGATTTTCAGATGGTTGCTTGATGGGGACATGTGTCCCATGAATACAGCCAAATACCTGAAGGCTGGAGTGACCAATTATAGAATAAAATTTATGAATTAATTCGCTTACTTCATGTTGATTTTTTGACAATCTCAAATATTTGGTTCCAATTTACTTTTTTGTTTAATTATAGCATTGCATAGAGCCTTTAATACAACTGAAAATGCTGACTTTGCAATGCCAAAAGTACTACATGTCATTGAATATGACCCTTGATCTTTAAGATAGTAAAAATTATTGTAAGTTTTTCCCCTGGTCTTAAAACACCTCGGAAAGGATTTCTGTCAGCCTCAATGACTGACCTCAAAAGATTTACAAGATAAAAAAATCACTCCGCGGCATCCTGAATTTACTTTTCTACTGATTTTCTGTTGCTTGACCTATTAATAGTTTGTCCCACAATATAGGTTGTCGCACAAGTATTACCTTCTTTCTATTCTCATATATGACCAGAAATAGCCAACTTTTTGTTTTGTCGCCTTTGTTGACAGACAAATACAAATAATTGAATATTTGCTTGCACAGCTGTTAGAATTGTGATTAAATTAGCCAAAATTTAACACACCAATAAATGCTTATTGTCTTCCAAAGCATTTTCCTTTAAAATTAATACCGCGCAAAATGGTTTGTATTTCGCGCTACAATTATTATATGTCATCTCGGGTGCATTTAAACAGCACAGCTTTTCCCCGTGACAATCACAAGAGGTTATCCTTTTGTCGCGGGAAAAGCCGTACAAAATTTTGCGGACAGAGAGGACAAAAAGTGGGACAAAATTTTATAACAAAAAACCATAAATAATGTGTTAGACGGACATATTTGTATTAAAAATTCCCTTTCCTTTCATTTCTCACTTACTGAAATTTTTTGGGTTTTCATTGATCATGTGTTATTAAAATATTAACGTGCAATAGTATTTTGCAGTACATCACGCAATTCTCATTATTGTATGAATTTTACTGTGTTGTTCATACTTAACCAAAATGTATCAGGCGCAGCATTAAATTTTGCGCATTTACTCATGCGAACATATTTCTGAAATAACAAGAATTCTAATATAAGGAACACAGTCTTTTAAATCATTGTCGTGCTTAAATTTTGCTGATAACAATTTTAATTTAATGCGAGGATATATCAATCCCATAGGACACAAGTGATAATGCTCTAGGCGTCTTAGAGCATGGCAAAAGCCACGAGGGATTACTTATGGTAGTAAATTGTGCAGTGTTTTCATTCAAATGATCGTTAGTTTGTATGAAAAAAAAATTAAAAAGCAAAAATGAATAAGCACTTAATAACCGAGCGCAAGGTTTTTACGGAGGAATAAAGAGTTTCAGATTTGACTACAAGTACTACTACTGCTACGTAGTCAAACAATCAAAAGTGAATACGGACACTTTTTTAACCGCAGAAATTGATATACATTTAGAGTTGAGCATGTAAATACTGCAAACAGATAGTAAACACGGAATTATCTGAATATTGTACCATAACAAAAAGAATCACAATTAAACTTTCATACTTACAATCTTTTCTAGTTCATTCAATACGGTTTTTTGAAAGGACTGAAAGGTTTTTTGAAAGGACTGAAAGGACTGAAAATTTTCCTCAAATTTATTCATCAATTTTGTTTCCAATTGCTCTATGTGTAATTCATAATCCAACTTTTGCTTTTTGGATACCGGGCCCACCAAATTTCTTTCTTGCATTTTTTCAACATCGTCAATGATACTAGGACTGTTTCTAAAGTAATATTAGTTAATTAAAATGACATTGATATTAGTATTTGCAAAAAGATCACTACGCATGTATAAATTGTTATTTTATATTTAAATTTTTGAAATCCATGCATGCATGACAGTGCTATGTGAGAGTTGTTTCCAGACTCCAGCTCTGTCTTGTTGTGGAAGATGGCAGATACAGAGTAAGTCGAAATAAATTAATGCAGCACATTTTGGCGTATAGTTACATTTTTATATAAATTAGAGTGTAATCCATTTGTAAAATTATATTCTTTAGAAAATAAAAACCAATAGTGTTTTACTGAATGTAATTAAAATTTAAATTGAGGAGCTATAATTTATTTTGACGTACACTAGATCCGCCACTGGTTGTTAACAAAAGTGTTTTAATATTTTCAATCATTTAATAAGCGTATTTCCAATAAAAAAATTGGCTGTTTCAGATAACAGATGATATAATGACGACTTTATTGGAATCAATACAAAAGAATGGAAAGCTTTAAACCTATCTTTCAATTCTTTGATTTTTTTCTCCACATCTTCAATGTTTTTAATGATGATCTTTAATCCTTCAACTTTTATCTGGTTATCTTCAAAACCTTTTTGAAAGCGATCAAGTATTACCCCGGATTGAAACTCTTGCCAAACATCTACGAATCTCTTGTCTGTAAAGCAGTTCAAAACAACACGCAACGAGCTTTGGCGAGTTTCGGAAATTTCTTAAAAACAACAAAAAACAAAACAAGAGTGGTTTCATTGAGCAAAGATGATTGACCCCATTAAGCCTGGTTTTACATGCGACATGCATAGGCATGAGAAAAAGCACAAACAAAAATACAAAAGAATGCAATGAAATGTCTGAAACAAGCATCAATATAAGCATAAGCCGAAGCACAGCAACTTGAGTGGAACAAAAGCAAATTGCTAAGAAATCCCCTTTACTCAAAATTGCGAGAATATATGCTTTGTGCTACTTTTTGTGTTTATTTGACAGTAAAATTTAGGCCTTATAGATTTGTAATCATTAACTTTATTGTTTAATGTAAACGAATTTTTTGCATGAAATAAAGCAAAACGAATAAAATTTGCTCACATGTGATCTAATTCATGGAAATTATAATATCTCAAAAATAACCAAATTTCTAAAAAAGTACAAAAAATACAATCATGCGAAGAATGAATTAATCATGATTTTATTTACACAAGTCTTTTCTTAGACCTAGCTTACTAAAATAATCCAGTTAAAACCAGACCATCTTTATGAGTAATTTTAAGTTTGTTATAACTGTGCCATCTATTTTCTTTGTTGTTACCTTTGAGAAGCTGATTGTGAGCATTTCTTTGTTAAATTTTGTCTTACACTTTACTGACGATGTAAACCTTTTCTACCTGTTCTTATATGCTAAGCTCATTTGTGTGGATGGTTGCCAAAAAAATTATGAAATTTCTTGTTGATGCAAATAAAATTAGCAATATCGAGTATATCTTATTACAAACTTTGCCCATTTTCGTTTACTAATGCTTCTCTGAGCTTTGCAAGCAAGAAGTTATTGTTTCTTTTAATGTTAAGAAATAAGTTTATATTATGTGAATCAAATATTTAAAACAAGTAGTTACAAGAAAAGAAACAAGAAAATAAGCAAATTACCTTGATCATCTCTTTCACCGCCCATAGCTATTTTGACGATGCTGTCTATAATTCGAGTGATGATTGCATGCAATCCATATAGTGCACCCAAGGAAACAGCAGTGTTACACAGTGTATCAACGCTGGCCGAGTCACAGGAAAGCAAAAAAGCAAATGTACCTCCTTCGACTTTTCCACTGAAGGAGACTGCTTGAATATCAGTCATGGTAACAGCAGACTAATATCTTTAAAATAATTCAAAAATGACAAGTCAAATGTTGGTTACTCCAAAACCACAACATAGCTATAAATAATATATTAATACTATTAGGATTAATATATTATATATACTCTGATGATGGTTTGGAACAACATAGCTATAATTTAGCAATGTTAAATTTGTATTCATTATGATACTTAAATTTTTTTCCCAGTTGTAAACTCTTATTCCAAATTTTACAGTGAATACTGAATAGAAAAAGGTCACAAAGAGAATTTCAGTGGTTATTGGCCACCATTGTTGCTGCAATTCGGCCATTTTGCTGCATTTCCTGCTATTTTGTAGGTGTTTTGATGCGTTTTCAGGTTTAGCAAACCAAAATCGGTTTAGAAACGGGAGGTATTATAGATTAGTTCGAATCTAACAAAGAATTTCTTTAGTTTGATTGTCTTGCCACAACTTAGCAAAATCGTCAAGGCAACAAGGGCATCGAGTAGAGCATACTACTGCTTAACTACAACATCGGCTAGGGAAGATACAGTTAGGCGCCATAAGACTCTATCTTTAACTTTCACATTGTTATATAATCGACAAAACAATTGGGGTTAGGGTAAAATGCGGTTACGGACGGACAGATAATAGCTACAGATAAAAAATTAAGGACGGATGACATTCGCAGACGGACGGACGGAATGATGAGCTAATATCAAACAAAACGTGTGTTTTTAGGGTCATCCGTATTTTACCCGAAAGGGTAAAACGCAGATATGGTATTAAATGTGGCTTTCACGCTATTTTAGTTCCTAAGCACATGATAAGGCTAAGATAAAGCTATAATTTTTGATTCCCACGAGTTTTTCTCAAACAATATTGAAAAAGCACGCGAAAAAATTAGTCAAATTTAAAAAGAGCAAAACACTCAATATATTTCAAATTTCCGGTTTTATAATTAGTAAGGTTGAAATTTGAATAAGTGTGCTAAGTTTTCTTCAATACAAAATGTTTTTCGGTGTGATTTGTGGCATAACTCATCTCGACACCTTTACGCAGCTGGTGTGAAACACCATTCTTTTATACGAACGCATTTCATGCACATTTGCGTGAGCAATGACGTTTTTAAAATAAGATTTTCACGCTTTTTGAAGGATGTTGTACGAAGTGAAACTTAATTTTGAAAGCCGGAAACAGTTTAGGAAAAATACGCAATGATGAGTGGCTTGCAATACTTATTATGAATTCTTACTTAGCCTGAAATAGAAATTCCTTTGGATAGCAAATCTTAAGCACTTCGTTACTCATGAAAACTATTTTGCCATTGCCAAAAAGAATAAAATAAGGAACTCTATACTTGCTATAAATAATATGTCTTTTCCTTTTGCACATTTCCTTTTCCTATGAGAAAATGGACAAGTGTATATACTTTGCAGGTCACCACCCAATAACGATTGGACCAATCATCTTTACTCAAACTAAGTCATTTCATGCGTACAATTACTTCTTCTCAAAAGTAAGTTCTACTTTGTTAGAGTGATATGTTGAAATAATTTATGAAATATTTTAAGACTTTGTCTGAAGAACTATTTGAATAATAAAATACTTCATATTTCACTTACATGGCAGTCAGTAGTTTAAGTCACCACATTAATATAGTGAATAGGTTTTAGTAAAGACACGTGAAATGTGTTGGCCTATGGAACAGATGGGAAGAACTTTATCATGTATTGAGACTCAATTTACTTTATGCCGTCCCCTTTCGCTGCTTGTTGCACTTTCAAGAAAGTTGTAAAACCCAGTTACTTAAATCTAATGTTCTAGAAATCCAGCAGAAGGAGATTTTGGCTGATTACTTTGGACGACGTACTGAGGATGAGTGGGAGAAAGGGAAAATCAATTCTAAAACTAAATCCATGTTGGATAATGATTAAAATTAGGGGAAAGTGCAGCAATTTTAAGGACTAATTTCAAACAATTACTTTATATTTTAGGTTTAGTCGACGCTGAAAATGAAGAAAATCGACAACAAAACTTTTCCTTTGCAAGGATTCATTAAAGCAAAAAGGAAGTCAATATCTCCCTGATCAAGTGGCTTTTTTTATAAATACGTTTCATATAGGGTGAAAGTACAATACAAGCTTTTTTTATCAACACTAATACTTCATACTGACTAACATCTACAGCATACGCTCATTATTCTTATATGTTAAAGCAATAAATGTTTCATGTTATAGATACCAAAGATTGCCCAATGCATGCTAAAAAATGCACAACGCAACGCTGGAGTGGGTGATCCTCCACAGCCTGACTATACAAACAACTCAGAATCAGCAAACGCTATGATCAAAAGAGCTTTAAATTTTAAGGAAATTGAAATATCAAATTATATCCAAGAAATGAGTGTTTTGCTCAAGACAGAGGAAACCAATGCTAACTCAGCAATCTTTGACAAAGGTTTGTTTGAGCTGGCAAAACTTCTGAAACTTCAACATTTCAGAATGTGATTGGTTTCGAAAAAAAAACGAGCAAAGAGATTGGAGACTTTTGGAATACAAATTTGTAAAACGCAATGGAGGAACAATGGAGGATGCTGACAGAGCTACTGTAGAAAACAAAACGATTGAAAAAATGGGCTCTCGAAAATTATCGTGCGATCTTGTCAACGCTGGCGTTACGTCTTGTCCTAACATAGCGATTCAGGCAATGGTCAAAAAGTCCGAAGATCTTTTAAATCGGCAGGCCTCTATAACTCCAGCACTTGGAAATGATAAGGCGTTAATGGTAGAGAGCCTGACAAGAACAAAGCCTCATTTCGTCCAACGAAAGAAGAACGGGAAAGTTATATGTGACGGTTGTCTGTCATTTTCTTCAGCAAAGATCTGTGCCCATGCAGTGGCTGCAGCTAAGAAATTTAGAAATTTAGATGAGTACATAGCATGGTTAAGGAAGAAAGGTCTAACGTCTATAAATCTGACATCGTTTGTTACTTTCGACTCTGCAAAGAACGTTGAGAAAAAATATACAACATTAAAAAGAAAGGGACGAAGAAAAAATCAATCACAATTATCTTATATAACACTTGATAGACCATTCAACTGAAATCCTACAGTCCAGAAATAGGATGCAGTCAAATGATTGAAACCGTAAATTCTGAACCAAATTCTTCGCAACCGTCAAAAGATACAAATACAACGGAAATCCAATTACTTCAACCATTAACATCAGTCACATCCAACACTACAGCAAGCCTACAACGACAACCTCAACAGTCAACATCCTTTCAAGCATCTTCTTAATAATTTATGCAGCCACCACAAATAACATTACATCAAATGCAACAAACACCTTTTCAAACGAAAATCAGTCAAAGTTCTTCCCACAACACTGAACAAATTTCACAGTTTTGAGCAAATTCATTCACACTAAAACCACCAAGTAGGGCGCTCGAGCTACACTTTTTACATTATTGTCCTCCTGCAGTTCGAGTTTGTTTTGGATATCTTCAGCGACTAAAGCCAGACGCAAAAGACGCGAAAAGACGCGAGCTCATGAAGTAAATTTTTTTCGCCCACCCGGATTCGATAACCACAATTGCGATCATATAAAATATCAATGCCATTGTTCAAAGCCATATTCAAAGCACAAACACTTAAAAATTTTTTATCTATAAAATATGCTGCAAAATGTGTGGTATACGGATTTTGAAGTACTGCCAGAAAAGGAAACATATGACGAGGGCTGAAAGCAACGTAATATTGTTTATCATTTAAAGTGTTCAGTATTTTGTTTTTAAGTCAATACTTGAAGTGTAGAGGTAAATATTTTATGAGTGTTTTTTCTACTAATTAATAATTTAAGTCATGTTTGTCCACTCTTATGTTGTTCTTTACTTAATCGTTTGCTAGACGAAGCAAAGCAACCAATTCTTATCGAGATATGCACATCTTAAAACTCCTGGTTTGAATTGAGTTTACCTCCATCCAAGATATGGAGGATTTTTGGTGATATTTTTCTGAAAATAAGTAGGAAATATTGAGAACAGAGTTTTATTTAAATCAAATGAAGTGCAGCATTAATTAATGAACTATTTGGTGCATGTCGTACAATAAAAAAATCTGTATTAAACAGGTAGCCTACAAAATTTAGCACTATGGACAAGAATGATGATTGTGTAAAGGTTTCCTTTATGCAGACAGTTTGGTAAATGCCATTTCGTGTTTTATTATCTAAACAATTCATTATTTATTGTTATAGTAAACAGGTTAACATATCAAAACCAACATGAAAACTACTTGGTTCAATAGCTACTGTGCTAAGATTTGCTCCTACTTTGAGATATTTGTCGAAAAAAAGCTAATGAAAATATGCATGAAATATTAAATGAAATACATTTAATAAAGTACTGCCTTGTCTAAAAAAATCCATTTTTGTTTCAATTCCCTGTGATCCAAAATTGACATAGGATGCATTGGTTACAATTAAGTTGAATGTAGAAGAAGCGAATATTAATGGAAAAGAACCTTTTTGTGTCTTACGAAGGATTGGTAGAAATTAATTAAATGAAAAAGAATAAGCAAGTAGAAGAAGCAATGTCTGTCTTCGACATGAGACTTTTCCAATTATGTATAGTTTCTTGGTACCAAATACGGCCTTTAGATAAACTTGATTTGGAAGTCTTTCACTAATATTTTTACCAAGAGACAAAATGAAAAAGTCAATGACAACATGTAAAACTCAAAGATTTGTCAGCTTGAAGAAAATTAGTATTGGTAAATGTAATTTGTAAGGGCACAAGAGAAGAGTAGAGCAAGAACGTTAGCATTTTGAGAATTAATACCATCTTCTAGACTTACGTTACACAAGCTATAATATTACAAGTAATGACTGTACAATAACATTTATAAAATTTGCAAAATATCTTCACCTCCATAATAAGTATTTAAACTTTGCCCTCGTGCTGCAATAAACAAAGTGCTATGTCAGAGAAACCAATGCACTTTAATGTAATAACTCGTATTTTCAATGAGAAATTAATGTTTTTATGTTCAGTAGTTGACCTATGGTTGTACCAAATATTTTATAAACAATCCAATCCAGTCTGTGATATCTTGGCTCAAATCAGAAATTTCCATCCAGCAACATAATAGTATTTTGAACTTTGCTCTTTTGCTCTTCTAGTTCAAAATATTTTCTTTATAATTTCTCAATAGATTTATCAAAATATCTTTACGTCATAACCCCAAAATCAAGCCTACGAAAATAACTCAAAAAACTAGATACCTATTTATTCAGGACATATTTCCAGTTGACTTAAGTCACAGGGGCAAGCAAACTTTTTTTACTCCTTTTTGGGTATTTTAACTAAGATTTATCAATCTATTCAAGAAAGACAGTAACACCAAACTGTTTACAAACAGTCAAACACACAAATAGCGTGCATGGATTATGTAGAAGCTTCAAAACATTGACAATCGTAGTAAAGAATGTCGTTTCCCGTTTGATGTTTATATCTATTATAGCTGAAACATTATTTGACAAAATGTACGTTACTTTACCGTAGATTCTCCTCATTTTAATGTGTCTGTCTATTTCAAAAAATCCTAAAGCATTATTTTAAATGGAAAACGTTATACATTCTGTAACGTGATTGTTTTCACCTGGTTGTCATTAATGTGCAGTAATAAAAATCTGGATTCCGGAGGGAGGAATATTAAAAATATTACTCAAATAAGGAAGTTTGGACAACCAAAATCCGCCCTTACCGCCATGTTTTTGGCAACCGGGTCCAGTCCTCTTAATACCTCCAGTTCTTTATATAACTTAATGGTTCGGAGAAGTTGTCGTTCTCGTCAATGAGCAATAATTAAAAATAGGATTCCTTTTAACCTTACGTTCATAGACTATTTTGTAGCTTGAGATTGCTGGACAATAATTATATTTACATTAAAATAATTTGTAGATGCGGTGTTGATTTACTCAAAAAAACCAAAACATAGTCATTTTTGGCTTATACATCTCTTAAGTACATATTTTAAGTTGACCGATATCAAGCTCACATAGCAGTTTTATTTTGTGATCTGTAAAACCTTATTATTGAAGCAATTCTTTACTGGAATGTTTTACATGCTAATGACACTTTTGTAACTAAATGCTAAGGCATATTTCAAACGTCGAATTTCTCATGTGTCTAATACAATTAGCAATTTAATTCGACCGAAATGTAAAATTCCGAATGTGCATTTCAAACGTCGAATTTTGCAGGCGTTGAATGTAATTATGAAAATATAAAGTGAGTATCGCTTTTTTTTGGCCAGGTCTCATAACTGTTTCAAAACGGTATTTTTACTCCATGATTTGAAATATCTTGCAAAAATCTTGCCGTTGGTGAGTAAGCTTTTAGAATACAGGCGTTAGATTTTCTCTTCACTCAAAATAAAGAAAATCACTATAGTTAGCTAGTTAATTTTGAATCAAAAACCGGCTGGATTTCAAGCTTTCGTGACATCTTTGCCACATAGGGTGTCATCATAGCAAAAAATCTAAAATGAAGTTTTTGACGCGAGTCTTTTATTGCATTCATTCTGTAACCTAAAATTTTGTTAAAGCTATTCTTTTTAAAGTAAAACTGTTGCCACAAGAATTCATGGTAGCCTTATTTGTTTATATACAGAGCGTAAGTATGTACCTAAAAAATATTTATATACTTAATGAATATGATACAACTGTTGACGTCATAAAATATTATCAAACATTTCATATATAATGATTTGAATTGAAATATATTTTAAGATCAAACTTTTACCTATTTTCATTACGTTATGTCATAACAAAAAAAAAGAATAAATAGGATATTGTCGAAAGTGTAATGTAAAGTAATGTCGAAAGAGTCAGAGTGCATTTTCTACTATAAGCTTGAATGATTAATATAGGGTCTTGTAATGACGAACGTAGACATGATAAAATACTTTTATATAAAGTAAAATCACTCTTTATTTCAAGATCAAGCTTTCGCCACTTTTTACTACGTTATATCCAAATCAAAGGAGATAAATAAACTATAGTCCTATTAAGGTAATTAATGACGTCTAAAATTTGAGTAAATTATAATTAAAAGGTATATATCAATCAATTAACGTTAACGACAAGCTCCAGCTAAAATTTCGGCTAAAATGCTTTTTGGTGCATTCATGATTTAATGCAATTTGTATGGGTTGTGCAATTTTCAAAATATTTGATTTTACGGTGACGTGTTAAAAAGTATGAGTGATGAATGCAACTTATCAGTAGATTGTTTATCACACATAGTATCAAGATGATAAGAAACTTTACCACTCACATATGCTTGATGTCTTTTCGTCTTTATATACAAGGAAAACTGGATCACTGATGATACCTGAAATCTTTCATCAAATACACTCACATTAACTCCTAACTTTGTTTATAACAGCGGAACGAAGGTTGGCCGTATAAATCAGCTACTAATTTGAAATTCAAAATACATTTAAAACAATGCCAACAATATGTGAAAGGTGGAGTCACATAGTGTTAACTTTTCGAATACGTAGTGCTAATGTAGATGTTAATTATTACTTCCACAGCAAACCATATGTTTCAACGATTTAGTTAAAGCGAGGATTGATAATAATTTTTGAAAATTTTGTCAGAAGAAAAGATTTGTATGGAAAGCGCGTTGTCACATCAGTCTAGTATTCAGCCCCCCCGTCGGGGACCTTAGCATCTCCGTCGTGAAATTCCTGGCGTCCCCCTGCAATTTGTCAACAAATAAAAAATACTTTAGTAGCTATTTGAACAACAACCTTTCTAAATTCTAATGATTTATACCTTTATATGCTTTGTACATTAATATGTATTTTTACATTTATGCAATTGTATTTCCATATACTATGCATTTATAATTTAAAAAACATCTAATAAAAACGACGATATTTTTAATAGCAAACATGTTTCGACTTTAACATAATGCCATCTTCAGTGTGAATTATAGTGTTACGAAATATGATACAGTATAGTAAATTATGAACTAAGCGTTACTATTGTAAGGGTTTGCTGCCTCTCCCTCTCCCTCTCCCGAGTTGGCAAAAACTGCAATTTGCAAATTGCTTTTGGGTATTTCCATTATTTACCATCTGCCATAAACGACACAATACCGAATGGACAAAAGCACAGCAATTTTTAAAACATACGATCGATATGATGAGCAACAAACTACAATATCTTGTATATTTTGTCACTTAATATAGACAAACTAACTGTGTCTCTTTTTAATTTCAAATTGTCATGTAACTAAGTGAATTTAAAGAGGAACATGCAAGCAGTAACACTGTATGTATGTATAATATGTTAATATTAAATTGAGAATAATTGGACGAGCAGTTTTCCAAAGCTCATTTTACAAAAATTTGTATGCTTCAGGCAAGCGGTAGCAAAGCAATTGCTTCAAATAAATTATTGACCTTTACATGCATATGTAGCAGTTGACATGAAAGTTAGAACTCAGCCAATAACGAATTAAATCATGTTAACTTGAGCTTAAAGGTTGTTTTCTGTATTTTTTCACTTTTTTGCCAACCAGCACAAGATCAACACATTTATTAACACCAACAATTTTATAGTGTCATATATGTAGCTCTCAGCCTCCCAGTGTTTGTGTGTGAGTATATTATTAGTTTCATCTGGATTCATGTTACTCAGCTGTTTTTAGAAAGGAATCACATTTATACACATACAAACTTGAAAGGTACAATCCATGTTGCGGTCGTTATTCATGGCAACATTAGCATTTTCTTTACATACATTATACATACAGTGATTATGGGCATGGAAAGTCGCTATTGAGAGCTTTTACTTATTTATTGTCTACTTGTAATAACACATTAAATGTACTCTTCTCCACCATGCTCTCAAGAAAATATTCGTGCCGTTAAAGTTCTGATGATAACATGAAAGCACATTGCTTTTCTAACCGAGTGAATCCTAACCGAGTTTATTGCTATTCTTATAAAATGTACTTTTGTCCACCATGTGTGAAGCGGTCATTGAAATATGCGTGCCATTAAAACAGCCGATAATAATATGAAAGCACATTGCTTTTCTAACTGAGTGAATCGCCTTAACGCAAATCAGCAGCCGTTAAAAAACGTAGTACTGCTAGTATTAGGTATTCTTCGAAAATTTTCTTTGTGCTTGTTACAAATGTTTATCAAATGTTTATCAAATGTTGAGTTCACTGATTCAGACTAGTTGCACAAAGAATTTTCCCTTGAAAGACTTATCTTCTTTAATTTCTATAAAGGATTTAAGTATGAAGAAATTGGTATGTTTTTAAGAAAATACCAAGAAAACAGTATTTTAAGCATTTAGCATTGCTACAATTATAAGGGTTATGGCCAGTTTTGAGCGAAAGACGCGAAATATTGACTACAACTATGATGACCTTGAGAGATAAATCAGGGAGTTCGTTGACGCATATGTTTGCTTAAAAGGATATTGGTCAGTTTTGCAAAAACTTCAGTTAAGCAGAAGTGCACCCACATAAGTTCCTAAACATGCTGTGCAGTCAATTTTGCGAGAAATTGACCCAGCAGGAACCTAGGGAAAAAAGGGACATCGAATTAAAAGAAGAACTTGCTATAATCCTAACTACAACATGATGGATACCAGTAACAGATCTAGCGATGCATTTGGCCCAATACATAGAATTGTTCTCATGTAATTGCGTACGCTATTTTGATAGGATACTATAACGGGCCTGAGCTGAAATTGCTTCATGTAATCGGTCCTTTACTTAGCTAACACGTCTGCCAGCCATTTTTATTGTTTTTTGTTACAATAACTTTAAGTGTTTTATTCCAAGATTTTTGCTTAGATTGATTAAATAATGTAGACTTACAGTACAGTAATAACTAGGGAAAATAAAGCACATATATCTGCGAATGGGAACAAAGTAAAAGGTTAAAAATGAACCAACAACGCGTCGAAATGATTTTAAGCCTTACTGAATCTCAGTTAGCCGGGATCATGTAAACAGCATCTTATTGGCTATATTTACGATTGTTAATTACCGAAACCCAAATGATGTTCTAATTGTTTCTATAAGTTTAGAGAAACGTGTGAAATCCTTGCTAGTAAATTCTAAACTTAATCTCAAATTCAGTTAGCAATAACTCTAAAATTTGAAATTCTTAAAAAATGTGTTTTAAGTAGATTGTCGTGTATGACAATATTAGTTTTCAATATTTCATGCTAGAGATTACAATAAGATCTTCATCTTCAATGCGAGAACTGAAACCTGAATTTTTACATTTTGGGGGGATAGATTTTTTAGAATTTAGTTCCCCTGACAATTGAAATGCCAAGGTCTTATATTGGAGACACTGGTCCTTCAAACTCTAAGGGAAGGTTGTCTTAAAAAATAGTAACCACGAGGTTGATAAATGATAAATTAATCAGCTGAAGTTACACTTAATTTATTAATGCGAACTTATATTTTGTAGATTTTACCACTATGTACAGGGTATATCAAAAAATTCCAATTTAAATTTGGGGTTCAATAACACAGAATACATTTGAAAAAGTCGTTTGGTTTTTGCACTTTTGTTAAGACTATTTATCTACCTTTCAAAAGATATGTTGTACGAATCTTTCAGTTGTGAAATGAAGGAGTATTTCTTTACAAATAAAGTTGATAAAAATCACGACTTTGCCAGCTAAAAACTTACGCAAACTTTAAATATATGCGTTGCAGTAAACAAATTTTCATAGACAACATTTGATTTAAGACAGACTAATTTTTGAGTGATTTGTGTGGAAGACCACCGAACATTTTCTCAGATAAGGCACGGAAGTCACTAGCATTTATTTCTAAGAAAACATTGAATTAATACAAATCGGTTAAAACTAGTTTTTCTGTAATGATTTTATCTCATTTTGAGGAATTGAAAAAAAATCTTCAGCTGCATGCATTAGTTTTTTCAACTAGCCAATAAAAAACATGAAAATTTTTAAGACTTATATTTTTGATTAATTGTATAAAAATATTAATTTCATAGACACATGAGAAGAGTCAAGGTTTTGCAAATGCTTGTCCCTTGCCTAATGCCAGCAACATTATTTTTTTAATCTCTTCTAGTTTTACCATATGACGAACAGGAAAGGTGATGGTCTGGGTACAAGCGCTGGCTATAGAGAAGAAAATAGTATTGTTGGGCTCTTTTTCCAAGCCATCATGATCAAAGTTAACTGATACAGAAAGCTTCTGGCCATCTAATGGTTGATACTTTTGACCCGTAAGCCAACCCAAGACTCCACTTGGAAAAATATCAGCAGTTTGACTGCGCTTGCATTTGTTCCAATTATCAGTGCTTTCAATGTCACCCCATGCCACTTCTTCATCGAAACCTGCAATAACCTCATCTTCGGTTGACATGAAATCGTAAAAAATTGTCAAGCGCAGTTTCCTCTTTGGTTCTTCTACTTAAACCTTGCTCGGACAACTGTGGGTAGAGAGTGGAAACAACAAAATTGGCATCGACTTTGTTTTGCTGACAGATGAATAAATTTTAACCTATTTCAGTGTTATCTTCCAAAGCTTTGCAAAGACTAAATAACTCTAACCCTTCTTAAATTCCTCAAGATGTACCAGTCTCCGACTAATAAGCTAAAAAAGTCACATTTGACTGCTGCCTATTTGTGTAACAGCAGCACATCTTCCCTCTGAATGGTGCATTAGATTTACCTCAATGAAAATATGTAAGCTATCTTGGATGAAAAGAAAAGTAGAAATTGGTATGTTCTCTGTAAATCAATAAAATTTGTTCTTTAGTTTCTGGTGAGTGGTAGTTAAATAACAGAAGTTCATTGATAAAATTGCGTCAGTTGTTGTTTTCCTAGTTATATCCCGTTTTGTTGAGCAGAATAAGTACACTCAGTGCAAGTGAACGATTCATCCTCAGAATAAACACTTATACAACCACTAGCTGAACTGTAAACATCATGTGTAAAATCTCACTTTCACAACCACATTGTGGGCAACTCTGTTGATGTACCACACCAGCACCGTATCTGTCTTCCAGCTCTTTAATCACTACAATTGTGAGTGAAAAGGTTTTCTTACATTTTTTACCACTAGATTTCTATAACTTCTCAAATTTTAACATATTTAGCGGTTAAGTGTCACTGGTGTATTTAGGCTTTGATCATGGGAGTAATGTTAATAATGATTTTGTTTTACTTTCAACCTTTCAAAATAAACTTTTTTTGGATAAACTTTTAAAAAGAAATAAACACTTTAAAATGATATCAACACGTGTAAATTAAAGTAGTCTCAGTTATATATACTTAGAACTAAGCGCGGGTAACATTAATTGGACAAATAACATCACATTTTGAACGATCTAGTCGATGGTGCACTGCTATATGATTGACACCAATGAATTAAGACACTCCTATGGCCAGAAAGTGTAAAAGAGCCTTAGTTCTTTAAAGCAACGCGAAAATCAGGAAACTGAGGAGTCGGAAAACCAGTTTAAGGAAGCTGAAAGATACAGTAAGAATACAAGATTCATTGCTGTGGAGTTTTTTTATTGCTTGGAGTTTTGTTTATTACCGTGGGCTTTTGTTTAGTACCGTGAAGTTTTGTTTATTGCCGAGGAATTTTGTTAAATGCCGTGGAGTTTTGTTTATTGCCGAGGAATTTTGTTTATTGCCGTGGAGTTTTGTTTATTGCCGTGGAGTTTTTTTTATTGCCGTGAAGTTTTGTTTATTGCCGAGGAATTTTGTTCATTGCCGTGGAGTTTTGTTTATTGCCGTGGAATTTTGTTTATTGCCGTGAAGTTTTGTTTATTGCCGTGGAGTTTTGCTTATTGCCGTGGAGTTTTGTTTATTGCCGTGAAGTTTTGTTTATTGCCGTGGAGCTTTGTTTATTGCAGTGGAGTTTTGTTTATTGCCTTGAAGTTTTGTTTGTTGCCGTGGAGTTTCGTTTATTGAAGTGGAGTTTCGTTTGTTGCCGTGGAGTTTTGTTTATTGCCGTGGAGTTTTGTTTATTGCCGTGGAGTTTTGCTTATTGCTGTAGAGTTTTGTTTATTGCCGTGAAGTTTTGTTTATTACCGTGGAGTTTTGTTTATTGCCGTGAAGTTTTCTTTATTGCCGCGAAGTTTTGTTTGGTACTGTGGAGTTTTTTTTATTGCTTGAATTTTTGTTTACTGCCGTGGAGCTTTGTTTATTGCAGTGGAGTTTTGTTTATTGCCGTGAAGTTTTGATTATTGCCGTGGAATTTTGTTTATTGCCGTGAGGTTTTGTTTATTGCCGTAGAGTTTTGTTTATTGCCGTGAAGTTTTGTTTATTGCCGTGGAGTTTTGTTTATTGCAGTGGAGTTTTGTTTATTGTCTTGAAGTTTTGTTTGTTGCCGTGGAGTTTCGTTTATTGAAGTGGAGTTTCGTTTGTTGCCGTGGAGTTTTGTTTATTGCCGTGGAGTTTTGTTTATTGCCGTAGATTTTTACTTATTGCTGTAGAGTTTTGTTTATTGCCGTGAAGTTTTGTTTATTACCGTGGAGTTTTGTTTATTGCCGTGAAGTTTTGTTTATTGCCGTGGACCTTTGTTAATTGCAGTGGAGTTTTGTTTATTGCCGTGAAGTTTTGTTATTGTTGTGGAGTTTTGCTTGTTGCCGTGGAGTTTTGTTTATTGCCGTGGAATTTTGCTTATTGCCGTGAAGTTTTGTTTATTGCCGTGTAGTTTTGTTTATTGCCGTAAAGTTTTGTTTACTGCCGTGACACTTGTGAGCCACTGTAGAGATATAATCTGAGAGATGATCAATAAAATGCGATTACTAAAATTACGAGCTTCCTCAAACTAACTGTGGGAATCATACAAAGTTCATCACAATACCGACTAGCGAAAATGAGTTATATAATTAACTGCCTACCGATAAATCAGAAAAACATATAATGATTATCGAAATAAAATACTTAAAGACTAGCTTCAATTGAAAATTTTGAAAGCCTTGGACACACCTTATTATATAACCTTTGACAGAAATGTGGAGCCTGCTTCATGGTGGCTTCCAAACGTTAAAAACACCACTTGAAAACACTAGTATAAAAAAAATTCAACTAACAAGCTCAAGCGACAAACTAAAGAAATTTTACCTGATTATAGCGACTTATTCACACTATTTTATTTCCACCCTCATATACTGCCGTGTTATTTCTTGTTTCTTATTTATTTTTATTTTTATTTTTTATTTTTATATAGCTCATACTTTGTTTTTTGTTTGTTTGCTTATTTTTTACTTAGATGTAGTATACTTTTTAATTTTATTTTATCATACGGCTGTCTGAAAATCAACTTTTTTATTTTTATATGTAGCTTTATTTTAGGATCCAAGTTGAGATACTACCGTGTTTAAATAAATGTAACTAAAAATAAAAATAAATAAAAGATATGGACCACAGAAAAATATACATTTTGGGTGTGCAAATAAAAATAATCAGAAATGGTGATTTGGAGTAAAGCAATATCAACAGAAAATTTTCCTTTTCCAGATTTTTTTCAATATTTATTAATAAAATAGCATCAACGCTTACTTTATATAAAAAGTTAAAGCGGTTGCCAAATGATTCTTTACGCCTTGTTCGTGGAGACGTTTTTCTTCTGATAAAAATTATCAGCTAAGTAACTTCTTTTAAGAAAGCATGCCTATGATAAAGAAAATTTTGCTCAATAATTTTTCACCCACCCAAACTGTTCCAAAATGAAAATGTTTCTTTAAACATACAATGTAAGCAAATTTAATGCAATTTTATCTACAGTTATGAAATAATTTTTTTGTACGTTATGTGTAAAAAGAAAATGAAACTGTTACACAATATATGATTTTTATGTCAGCATGTTAGAGGTCTGATTAAAAGAATATTTTATCAATGCTGTTATGGACTCTAACTGGCTTAGCAAACTTTCTTTGTTTGAAAAATTGCAAACGGTTCTTTGCTTGCAAATCAATGATAAGAAATTATTTAAAATAAGATGTCAAATTTCATAGCTCAAGAAATAGTCGACTCATATAAGTTGTAGTTTTGTTGTATAATGATTGATAACGGCAATAACAGCCGGACCATAAGAAGTATCGCTAAGAAAATCGATTTTCGCGTTTTTAATTTGAAGTCAATCATGCAGAGTGAAAGTATTAAAATGCGGTAAAGTTTCATTTTCATTTGTTTCGTGACGCCCACGCGAGATGCTATTAAAGCAAATATTTCATTGGATCAAAAATTTGTCGTTGCATGCCCACGTAAGATATGCACGTTAAAAAAGAGATGAGTACCCTATTTCTTTACTTTTCGTATTTTCAATTGCAAAGTAAAGAGTACAACAAGCTTGTGTTTGGAGAAAAATTTCAGTGACCAGGGATAAAACATAACGAAGAAAAGATATGAAGGTTAGGGTGATAAATAACTTTCAAAAGGATATATGTTTGTGATAATGGCATTGTAGATTTAACATAAATGGATATATTTCGAGGATTAACATCCATAGTCACTATTGTAAAAACTAAATACAGACAAAAATCGACGATCTAAGAAATTAGCATAAAGGCATTTTTAGCAAAAAATAATTACTGCAAATTTAGACTCACATTTGTAGTAAAAATATGTTAAATCTTAATATTTCGATCAATATTATGGTTCATTTTGTATACAAGTACTTCTCCATATTTACATTGTATATTTAATACATAATTAGCATAGACTTTGCATAACAAAGCAAAAATATTTGTGGCATTCACTCTACACAGGAACAGTTGAAACTTTATTGTTACTCCAATAATAATTATACTCATAAGTTTAGTACTTCTCGGAACAATCATACGTTCAATATGAAGATTAGAGCCCAAAAATCATTTTCAAAAAGCCACAAAACTAATAAATAAAAGACAATGACGTTTCGTTTTGACTCATGACGTTTTCAAACAACGATAGCATGGATTTGTGTTGCTAGGAAGTACAAACAATGATTGGGTTACTAGGAAGTATATACGATTTATTTTTGTATATACTTCCTAGTAACACAATCCTTGTAACAAAATCATTGTAAGGTAACTTGTATGTACTTAACAATAACACATTCCCTGTAAACTGAAAACGTTTTGAGTTAAGACTACACATGCTTTCTTTAATAAATAATATAAAATCAACGATATTTTTGGCTTTAGTCTTTTCACAAGAGTCATTCTTTTGAATTAAAAAGCATACTAGAAAAGATCAAACTTTTGAATGAGCTCAAAAAATGCTGATTATGCCAAGTTTTCTGTAATCCATGAAAAAATCTGTTAAATTTTGTTGAAATTTATTAACAATTATGCAATTATATTTACAAATCTTGATACTTAGCTATTCTTCTCTGTTTTGTTTTACTTTATTGATCTCCACTGGATGCTACTGATTTATAATAGATGTTCTTCTTAGTAAACTCACATATTGCAAATATTTTATCAAGTCTCACAAGTCTCACACAACTCGATTATCACAGGGACTGATTACAACTAAGATGGAAAAATTCTTTGAGGACAATTACTGGACAAAGTTAGTCATGCGCTTCATACTTAACATGACAAGTTGATATTGAAAGTTTGTTTGAGGATACAGAGATGCTCTCTACAAATACCTTTACTATTTGATAAATCAAGCAAATACATAAAAAGAATCTGACAGTATTCATTTGTACATATCATATAATACTTTGATGTGCACCATAGAAAGTACGATATGTTCAATGTTAAATATCTAATATAGAGAAGCATCGAATTTGCATAACATTTTTTCATAATTGGAACTGCTGCTGATTAAAATAAAAACATTTGTGCTCTCAGTATACAAAGCTCTTTATATAGAAGATTTTAGCAATTGCATGCAGTTCTACAACATTTTTACAAATGAATCGTTTCTGATAAACTTTACAAATATATCTTTTCTGTAGGAAGAGTAGCATGAAAACTTTTCATCGGCAGGAGTAACTTTTTATATAAGGCAGATATATTTGAGTGTACTCAAGCAAATACATAAAAATAATCTGACAGTATTCATTTGTACATATCATATAATACTTTGGTGTGCACTATAGAAAGTACGATATGTTCCATGTTAAATATCTATTATCAACGATCAGAAGCATCGAGCTTGCTTAAAAATTTTTCATAATTGTAACTGCTCCTAAGTGGCAAAACATTTTTACTGACTATACCCTTTGTGTTCCACTACCTTTATGCTTTCTCTGCTTTCCACTACCAAATGTCAACAACCAAGATAGCTTTGCGATACGCAGACGACTATTACGCAGCGCAATCAAAAAGCGAACAAAGGAAGAAAGGAAGTTATCGAATGACGCTCGGACGCTTCTCATTATATTATCTTATTTCCTTTTTATTGTTCTAATTTATGTATCATATTACTTTTATATAAACCCTGTATCACCTATTATTTCATTCATACTGAAGATGGCATCATGAGATGTCGAAACATGTCTATTTTCAAAAAAGTTGTCGTGTATATTAAATGTGTATTGGCAATAGTGCTTTTACGAAATGATGATACTTACCTATTCCTTTGTGCTTTATTACAGTTCAAAACTTTCCATGTAAACTAAAAGCCAATTTTTTGCAAAGGGTTAAGATAAACTCACCTGTTGTTAAAATTTATTTGCTTGTAAAGTTTGCTGGTGAAGCCACGATGAACTTGGAATATAGCCTGCTGCTCCTGTTGCTGCTGTATAAAGGTATTTGAATTCTTTCATCCAAATATTGTTTCCTTATGTATTTCATTGAAGTATAACTACGTTTAAATAGTTCTTTGTTATGAAGCCATGTTTTCAAGTTTACATAATTCAAATATTGACCGAGCTTCTTCTTCTCAGTAAGCGCAGTTATCGGAGACCAGAAAGTACGGTTGATTAACGACTTGTTAAGAAACTACAACAACGACGCAAGGCCCTTGAATGACGATACACTTCCATTTAAAAACACTTCTTATCCGGTTAAAGTTTGGTTTTCAATGACCTATCACCAACTGCAAAATTTGGTTAGTGATAAGTATTTCAATGAAGAAACTTTGATTCAAGAATCTTACATTTAATGTGATATAAAATGTTAAGAAAAATTGTGTCTAATTTTATCTTTAGAATGAGCCATCCCAAATCGCAACATCCTTAGTTTGGGCACGTACGGTAAATATAAACACCACACAAAAAGGTTTCCTTTGAGGAAAATTGTTATAAGTTGCAAATAAATGAAATCTAGAAATTTTACTACACACTTATTACATTTGAGATAATTTTCTAAATGCTGTGTGAAAAAAGGAATCGCTTTTGATTTAAAAAAGTAAGTTTTCTCTTAAATCCAAAAAAATGAAATATCACTGCTAACATTAAGAATTAAAAAAATATCATTTTATCTTGCTCGGCATTCAGCAGTTTTCCGAGTGCCGCGTGGATTGGTACGAGGGTCATTGGATAGAGCAGTTGAAATATTGCCCAGATTATCTTAGTAAACCAGGGCAATCAAAATTGGGTCTATAGAGACTGACTGGGACTCATTCATGTGGCACAAATAGTAACTTATCTGGTGGAGAACTTTTTTGTGTGATTTTTCAATGATAAAGTTATTGCAACATGATCATTAATTGCGGATCATGCGACTATGCAGTTGCTAGCCTAGTATTGCATCGGCTAAACAAAATCTGCCTCACATCAGTTGAACTATCTAAACTATACTTTTAACAGTATATATACTATAACCATTCGTTGTGCCTAACAAGAATGCTACCACCCTTAGTCCTCTGAAATATGTAAATTTAGGGCTAATGTATTGTATCTGATCGCCAACGGCCCATCTCATGTATCTGAACATTAAAAATGAAGCGCTCTGTTGCAAAAGTAGCTGCTTTGTTGAAAAAAACTATGGCCTTTATATTAAGATGAATTTGAATATTATCACTTCAAGTTAAGAGCTGTCACTTCTCATTCAAGGGTTACATGTATATTGTGTAAACAAATTGATGACGTAACTATAAGAAGCCCTTTGGGCCCCCTTATTTCCAGTATCTTCATGTCTTTCCATGAGAAATCCTTGTTAAAGAAATATCCCTCTCTATTCAAGACAACGATACGTAGAGACTTTTTTTGTGATTATTTCCTAAGAGCATGTACGTCTTCTTCTTGATTTCATTTAACAAACAACATCCAAGCATTCATTTTACGTCTCAAGTGGAAAATGATGACAAACTTCCCTTTCTTGACGGCAAAATAACGCGCTTTATTTGATGATTCTCTACTTCTGTTAATCGAAAGCCAATTTCACTGGTCTCTTTACAAACCTCTATAGCTTCATACTTTTTACATAAAAACACTCCATAGTTTCTTGCCACATTCACCCAACTTTCCATCTTTGCTTCACCTATGATTCGACGTCAACTTGAAGTCGTCCAAAAACTGTTCCATTCTAATAGCTTACCTTTCCAAATTTATTATAAACTTGTCCGACATTTACTTAACAACGTAAACCTAAACCTCATATGCACAGTGTACAAAAGATCATTACGTATTTTGCCTATCGTTCACCGGCTCACAATCCCTGCAGATTTGAATTGAAATCACACGATTGTGCAATGCTGCTTGTTCTCACCTCAATATTCGTTTTGTCTTTTGCTCTTTGACACAATTTTCATCATTCTTTCATTTCAAAGATAGAGTCCCTGAACTTCTGAAATCTGGTGATGTATATCTACATAAATTTCAACATTTCTCTTCGTCGTCATACGTGGGTAAAACCACGCACCATTTACACACCAGGAATATCAGAGCATTTGGATATCTCTCCTCGGACAGGAAAACGTTTATCCAGTCTAATCAATTCCAGTATGTTTACCCATGAAGACCAATAATCACTCTGCCGACTTTGACGACTTCAAAATTCGGTCATCTTCTCCTAATATATACGAACTATCCATCCACGAAAGCCGCTTCATCTCTAAGCTAGGTCCATCTCTTAATGTCCAAGGCAGTTCCATTCCACAAAACTCATTTAATAGCTAACTCATAAAGCCTGTGACACATGACTCTGTTTCCAATACTTTAGTTTCCAAGACTTGTCTTAAACACAAAAACTCCGGAGACTTCCCCTGACACACGAATCGAATGATTTAGAATTTTTCCAGAGTGATAACATCTTGTTAGCTGGTTTTTTTAAATACGATGAGAAACGATTCTGCCGCTGCAAAACGTGTCGCTATAGTCTGATATAAAAGACAACGCAAAAAAGAGGTGATTGGACGTACAATAGCCTAAAAATGACAGCAGTACAGCGTAGTTAACAAAACAATTGCTCCAGTGATATTCGCATTGCTACCCACCGATTTATATATGATAGCCATGACACTCTGACAGCTTTGTTAAGTGTTCATCCTTGTGCAAGTTCGCAAAACTTAAATTATAAAAGTTATATGTCGGACCATAATAATTTGCTTTTGCCTAGCAAATCTAATTTTGTAACACATGAAGTTTGTTAACACTTCTTTTCAAAAATTGAGAAATTGCTTTAAATTTAATTATTTAGCTAAGGTCATTCTCAATTGTTTATGACTTTTTGTTCCAGCACTGGATTGATAGTAAGCTCAAGTGGAGTCCAAGCGAGTATGGAGAACACGAGTACATTCATATCAGCTTAAATAAAATATGGACACCTGACTTGACACTATATAATAAGTAAGTGAATGTAGATAAACATGCAAGATGTTCATTCTACTGAGTACCATAGATCTTATGATATTTAGACTGAATGCTCAACGAGCATTTATATATATGTACATTAATCTCCCTCCACTTATGACACAGAATAAGGAATATTCAGTGTCACTGTATTGATTTAAGTATTTGCGCTATTTAGTTTTTAACACGCGTTTGGTTATTTTTAACAGCCATTTAATTGCGTTTATGACCAAGATAAATGATGAGATAGCAAACTGCAGTCAGTAAGCCAGTTAAATATGCACCACTGAGTTTCAAAACGAAGTAATCGAACTATAAATTCTTAAATACTATGCTTGCGGTTCGTACAAGAACGTCTTCAGCACTTTCTGAGTCCACAATATTTTTTGAGAACTAAAAGAGCCTAACGTTTAGCCTTTTTCCATCATCCCCAAGCATACAGAAATGCAGACATTTGCGTCAGAAAGGGCTTTGTTCGTGAAAATGCTTCTAAAACGAAAATACAAATCAGCTCTGTGACTTTGAACGCAGATTGGTTAACGCAAATACAATCCCCAATAACTTCTAGTTAGACTACATAAAGTTAGGCTAAACCAACCGCCACTAGAGTTAGACTACATAAAGTTAGGCTAAACCAACCGCCACTAGTGTTAGACTACATAAAGTGAGGCTAAACCAACCGCCACTAGAGTTAGACTACATAAAGTTAGGCTAAACCTACCGCCACTAGAGTTAGACTACATAAAGTTAGGCTAAACCAACCGCCACCAGTTGGGCTGCATATTATGCTACAAGACACTGATGGAAATTGAACTAAAAACAGGAAGAAATTACAACACAGAGAAATTGAAGACTAAAATAGTTTATCACTGAGAGTAAATGTTTTGAAAACTAAAGTAAATGGTTTGAACCCGGTAGTATCGTTACATGTTTATAAATATAGGTCATCCAAGTTGGTATAGTCCTGAGAAGGATTGCTTTTGTTGTTGTTGACTGACGTTTCGGCAACCCTAGCAGTAGTCATCTTCAGAGTCAAATGAGGAGTAAACGTCAGGTTAGCCGTATTTGTTATCTGGTTGTTTCGTCATTGTATTGTGTGTACAGGAAATTTGTTGGTGTCAATTGTGTATTGTCATTGTGAATTAGTGTGAAGTAATGTTTTTATTTGACGGTCAAATATTGGTATGTAATGTTTGGTATACGTACGTGATTGTAAATTGGAATTATATTCAACGTATTGGTTTAAATAGGCCAAAATACGAGGTTTTATTGTTTGAGTTAAAAAAACAGTTTTTTATTGCATTTTGGTAAACACAGGGGTTGGGGCAAGGGCCCCGCACTGATATTATGCCATGGGCCCCGCAAAATGTTAATCCGGCCCTAATTTGACCGTTTGTTTGCTCCCTACTGAGAATAAAAAAGTGCAAACTTGTATCCTTTTTGATTTGGAAAAAGCATATGACAGGGTGGCAAGACATTAATTTTTGTGTTGTGCAAGGACGTCTAGGGCAGCAGTGTAATATCTAAAAAAAGGTATAGAAAGCTTTGACTAAAATGTAAGATGCCTATGGAAAACAAAAAAGAAGGTATATGGTTACGCTGTAATGAATAAAATGGGGTTGTTTAACAGGAGACAATACATTTGACAGAATTATTCACTGCAGTAAAACATAAGAATATATGCAGACGGAAAAAACTAATCACAAAGCTGGACATAAGTTACTTTAATAAATTTTATTACTTTTTTATTTTTGCTCCTTCTGATTGGAATGAGATTCTACTCCGTAGCAAATTGTGATTGCAAAATCATATTTTGGATAAATTGGATTTTCTCAACTCTAATTGATTTATTTTTTGTAGCGCCAATGGACAAGGTGAAAAGATGTACGACCTCAGTTATCAAGCCAGAGTACAATCTAATGGTAACGTCAGTTTGGCTACTCCTCTTTTCTTGCAGTCCGTGTGTCACATGGATATAAAAAATTTCCCGTTTGATACCCAAAAATGTAAATTGAGAATTGGCTCGTGGGCATACGATAGCTCTGATTTGGATTTAGAAGAATCGAAGGAGACCGGCGGCATCATTATGAACCACATGGAATCCAATTCTCTTTGGAAGTATAAATCAGTGAAGGTTACACGTTCCTCTATTAACTACACGTGCTGTAAATTTCCATTCCATGACCTTACATACACTTTTGAATTTCAAAGAAAATCGCTATATTACGTCTTGACAATAATAATCCCAACAATGTTGCTATCAGCTCTGACCTGTATCTCATTTTGTTTTCCTGCCAACTCTGGTGAGAGGATATCGCTTTTGATCTCAGTTGTGATTGGTCTATATGTGATTATGCTTGTCGTGAACGAGCGGACACCAGTCACCTCAGATTCTAGACCTATGTTAACCTTAATTTTTATCTGTGTCAAAATGTCTACATTTTTATCACTTATTGCAACTGCTGTTATCCTGCGACTAAATCACGGCCCATATCCTGATCCTTTGCCAATGGGTCCCAAAGATTTCTGTCAACAGTTGAGGAAGTGGTTAAAATGTTGGAAAAGTAGTCACAATCAGAAAACGAACAACACTACTAAAATAGTAAGGAGTGAACAGGTGAGAGTAGGTTATTAGTGGTTTTTTTTCTGTTTAGTGAAATTTGGATGAAATTATTCATAAACCACAAACTAGCATTTTGACAGAACAAAATATAAATGGTTTTTGATGCATTCCCTCATCTTACTCAAGACTTCCCATTCATCTTAGATCACCAATCGTGAAGGAAATATAAATGGTGGCATTGATTCGAGCGAGCAGCCATCAACCTCTCATGTAGAAAATGGAATATCGGTTGAGGTATTCATGTTGACTTAAATTGTTTTTATTCTTTCCTTATTAGTGAAGTTTGCGTAAAATCAATCCAAAAACACAACTAAACATCATAGAACAAATATAAAAAGATTTTTATGTATTTCACTAAACGCCATCAAGTCACAAATGTCGTTTCTTACCTCTTAGTCTAATATTGATGATGTACAAGAAAATATTTCTCAAAGCGCGAATGACGTAAATGCTGAAATCTTACAAGAACTTAAAGACATCGCAAAATATCTCAAGGAAGGAAACCGCCCCCAAAATTGGAAAGTCAAAGCAGAATGGCAACTTGATATTTCTTTCTTTTTCTTTTTCTTAGCGGTTTTCGTTTTCTTTTCTGTTTTATTTTGTATTATTAGCTAAATTCAGAATAAGGACTGTTATTTGATAGACGACACCAAGACATTGGATGGCACAAAAGTATGTAATCGAATATTAACCGTGATACTAAATTTTTGAATAGCTTAACAGTAAATTTTTATTGCTTACACATTATAGTTACACAAAAATAATTGTCGGACATGACAATTTTCGCACTGAATGTTAGAAATTTAACTAGAAAAACAAACCGGTGTTTCATCATATTTGCAAAGCGGTTGCAAAGTACATCATGTACGTCTAATAAAATGAGTTAGTATGTTAATGTTTTGGGGATTCTCATACGACTTAAACTTGTGAAGGTTAAAGCATTATGTGTGCTCAGACTTACTCGACTTAATAGACAAGTGAGAATACAAAATTTTTGCTAACATTTTCAATGTTTTATGTCGATATCACAAACAGGCATCACTACAATATTTTACCTAAGGGCCCGATATAGGGGTTGTCAGATCATAGTCACACAATTAACGTTTATAAAGTCACCATCGAAACATTCCCTATTAACGTTTTTAATTTATTTATCAATTGAGTTCCAATGACGTAATTTCATTAAGATTGCAGATTGATTCACTCCCAGTTTGTAAACTCAGATCAGATTTTGCACATTACTTACGGATGAAATTGTCACAAAGCTGTTTTTTTTTCCATTTTGACTGTAATAATAACTTGAACAATAGCTCTTATGTGTTTAAATTTCCCATGATTGGTCGAAGCCAAACTCCCTCTGGAAATAATGTGTGTTTTTGACAACCGAAGTACATTTATTTGGTACTGTCAAATTAGGTACTGTACTACCTATAAGGTACGGTCAAAATAAAGTTAGCCCAATACTTGTTAATCTACCGTACTAACCCCTATGGTGACGGCGGGGGAAACACAAGTGCAGCTATGTTGAGGATACAAGCTTAGAACACACATGGATTTGTTAAAACCATTTGCTTTTCTTTATGTTAAATGTTAAAACCATTTGCTATCCTTATACGATCAATTTTTTTAAGGATAGTTTTGATATAATTAGCAAATATTCATAATATCGCCAAATTGAACGGCAAACTATTAAATCTCAACAATTATTAATGGTTACGACGTTTGTTGCCCAACATATTCAAATATTTAACGGCTTAGTAACTTTACAAAGATAGAGTTTCCATGGTAATTTTTTATAATTTGCCCAGCTGCTGTGCGAATAACTTTTGCGACGACTTTACATTTTAATTTTCTCTGAAAAAGAGCTTTATAAGATAAATTACGTCGTAGCACATTAATTACATGCACGTTAATTGCAACATTTTTGCCAATAAATCTATTCTCTGATGAACAAAATTTGACAAATACTTCTTTTCAAGAGGAAAAGTGCCGCAATAATTTTTCATTGACAAAAGTAACTTTTCATTTAGAACAGACACATAGAAATTAATATGTATATATATCACACTTGAATGAATATGAAAAAGAATCTGATTTTATGCAAATATCATATGACATACTACGGCATGCAATCGTGGTAAATCACAAGTAGTTTGCTTGTTAAATAATGAGAACGTATCTTTAGTTTTTACCTCAAAAGACGTGCCACGACTTTAAAGGTAGTGCTGTCCTGTAAAACGAAAATGGGTAGAAATGACACGACATGAATACTGTTAACTACATGACAAGAGCAAAACGTATCATTTACTGTTTGATGTGGTTTTATCTTTGTTTTTCAATACTTGGATTAAGATATGGACCACAGAAAATATATATTTTGGGTGTGCAAATAAAAATAATCAGAGATCGTAATTTGGAGTGAAGCAATATCAACAGAAAATTGTCTTTTTCCAAATTTTTTTCAATATTTATTAGTAAATAGCATTATCGTTTACTTTATATAAAACAGTTAAAGCCGTTGCCAAATGATTCTTTACGCCTTCCTCGTGGAGGCGTTTTTCTTCTGATAAAATTTATCAGCTAAGTAACTTCTTTTAACAAAGCATGCTTATGATAAAGAAAATTTTACTCAATAATTTTTCACCCACCCAGACTGTTCCAAACTGAAAAAGTTTCTTTAAAAACACAATGTCAGCAAATTTAATGCAATTTTATCTACACTCATGAAATAAATTGTTTGTACGTTATGTGTCAAAAGAAAATGAAAGTGTTACACAATTTATGATTTTTATGTCAGCATGTTGGAGGTCTGATATGAAAGAATATTTTATCAATGCAGTTATAGACTCAAACTGGCTTAGGACTTTCTTTGTTTGAAAAATTGCAAATGGTTCTTTGCTTGCAAATCAATGATAAGAAACTATTTAAGTAAGATGTCAAATTTCATAGCTCAATAAATAGTCGACTCATATATGTTGTAGTATTGTTGTATAATGATTGATAACGGGAAAAACAGCCAAACCATAAGAAGTATCGCTAAGAAAATCGATTTTCGCGTTTTTACTCTGATATCAATCATTCAGAGTGAAAGTATTAAAATGCAGTATCGTTTCATGTTCATTTGTTTCGTGACGTCCACGCGCGATGCTATTAAAGCACATATTTCATTGAATCAAAAATTTGTCGTTGCATACCCACGTAAGACATTCACGTTAAAAAAGAAATGACTACCCTATTTCTTTACCTTTCGTATTTTTAATTGCAAAGTAAAAAGTACAACAAGCTTGTGTTTGGAGAAGACATAACGAAGAAAAGATATGAAGGTTAGGGTAATAAATAACTTTGATAGAATAACAACTGCATATAGCTAATAGGAAATTAATGGTAATTGCTACTAGGCTACAATTTGTCACAAGAAAAATGAAACCAACTTAATTTGACTATAAATTCAGTGAAATGATTTTTGCAACTAGCACTTGATTTGTGAACTTGACTGCTCTGTGCTTTGGTATTTTATGGGGCTTCTAAAGTATTTAAAGGAAAACAAGTAAAAGTAATTTGTGCAAGGATTTTCTTTTGAAATCTACTACACAAAAGCTTTGTATAATCAAAGCAACATTAACTGAGCAATAACGGCTACAAAAATAAGTAGCTACGCAACGCGTAATTATAGGTAGCCTGTCAAGTATATGGTTTTGAAATAAAGTAGATGAATCATAAATAAACAATTTTCTAGATATATTATATTTTTGATATTGTTTACATTAAACTTATCCAAGAGCTGAAGAATGTGCTTTGTGCATGATTTTCAATCAAATGACTCAATAACTGTTCAACCTTTCTAATTTGCTTAACACCCTAGCTTTGATTTTATGTCAAGTAACTCTAGTAACATCTGCGAAAGAGAAGTTTTCGAGATTTGTCACAAATTTTACCATTTTCTTTATCATCATTTTCACTAAAAACCATTTTTTTCTATAAATGCTAAAAAAGAACGAATAAAATTGGCTGTGGTTATTACTTTTGTATGAACAGGAAAGAATACTGAATGACTTTAAAGATTGGATGTAGAACTAGAAAAAAAAAGGAAGATTACTTAAGACATCTTCAGATTATTTGAGATAAATTATATACACGAGGTTTTAAATACAAGCATATATTACAGGGTGTTAAATACAAGCATGTAATTTAACTCCCCTCACATGTAATTTAATATCCTGTACTATATGCTTGTATTTAAAACCTCGTGTATATAAGTTATCTCAAATAATCTGAAGATGTCTTAAGTTAAAGACGAAACGTTATTAATAAATCTTTGTCTGTTTTAATATTGTGATGGCCTTTTTAAAAGTCTTATGCTGGGCTGTGATGTTCTTATTGAAAACATGTAAGTACCATAGTGGCAGCCAGTCAATTGCTTTTTTTGACCTATAAGAATGATGAATTATTTAACGGCAGCCAGTAATGTAATTAAATATATAGGAGCCAATTGCACAAGAAGTGGACCTACTGCATATTCCCTATACTGTGATATCACTTAAAGGCTCACAAATTCGTCTTCGCCTACAGGCTTCGTAATTAGTAATCCGCCACTGATGTTGTCATCACGATGGCGTAATACATGCATCACGAACAAAATTTTAACATTTTATATATTTGTATATTTGCTAACAAATTACAGATGTAGGAGCAGTCTTGAAATGTTTTATAATCAAATATATTTTTGAAAACTGTGCGTGTGCAGCTGGTTTATCTGTGTTTTTATCCTTTAGCGCTGGTGGAACTAATGCAGCGATGTACGACTTTAGTTATCAAGCAAGAGTACAATCTAATGGTAAAGTCAGTTTAGCCCGTCCTTTACTCATGGAATCTGTATGTTTTATGAATATTAAAAACTTTCCGTTTGAAACGCAACAATATAAATTGAGAATTGGCTCCTGGACATACGATAGCTTTGATCTGGATTTAAAAAAAGCACCGTTGTCACAAGGCATTATTATGAGCCATCTTGAACCCAATTCTATTTGGCAGTTAAATCAGTCAATGTTGTACATAGCCCCACTAAGTACACGTGCTGCAAATGTCCATTTGACGACCTTACTTACACTTTTGAATTTCAAAGAAAATCGTCGTATCACGTCATTATTGCAAAAAATCTTGTCTTGTATTTCGTTTTTGTTTCCTCCTGAATCTGGCGGAAGGATCTTAAACGATTGGACGCCGGTTACCTCCGACACTAAACCGATGGTTTGAGTTGATGAAGGTACATTATAATGGTCGTATGCTTGTTGTAAGATCACTGTAGGATGACTTATAGAAATCTTGAAAAAATCAATATTGCTATGCAACTTTAGCCCCTCTTCTTTTCCGAGGTATCTACGTATGTTGAGCCTACAATGTTGTTTATGTCTTCGTTCGAAGGATGCTTCATTTATGCATTACTCTAATCTTTCACTTCACAATCTTGAAGGATATGGAAAAATTTGCTGGATGACTTAGGATAGCTATAATCTATATATTCAGTGGAATGGGAAGTAATCTTTTAAGCGCTTTGGTCACACCATTCAACCAGAGGTAAGTCCTTCATTTGGATAACTGGTCTACTCTCGGGGGGGGCGACAACTAAAATCGTAAAGTTGAATTGAAAAAGTTCCATGCCATTATATATTATTGAAGAAATAAAAGATGTTTACTGTGTTTGCACTGGCTTATGCAAACCGAGGAGACCTTTAGGAGAACTCGAGAGCAGATCAGTGCAGACCCGAGACCGAAGGTCGAGAGTTTTCACAAATGTCTCCGAGGTTTGCATGAGCCAGTGCAAACACGAAAAACATCTTTTATTTCATTTATAAAATAAAAATAATGCAAAACAGACAAATTTAAAGTAAACCTTTT